TTGTTTTTTCAACAACCAATTTCATGTGATTTTTGTGAACCTGTCAAGAGTTATTGCCAAAAATATTTTGACTATTGTTACATTTCCTTTGCTTACTATTATCAAATAAGTAAAGTTCAGGTCTACACGTGAAAATAAGGAACTGATAAAACATTTAGGCTATTTCCCTTGTCCGAGCGGCAAGTTTCACTTTCACGTTCGATATCTCATTTGTTAAGTTTCTGTTTCTTGACAGTATACAGTGCCAAAAACTCTTATAAAGAAAATATACCATTTAAAGGGGAGTCACAGTGGCGTTGGCGGCTAGAAGCCACCCTGCGGGTCGGAACGTCATGGGTTCGCATTTTGATGGAGCAGGACTTTTTTTCAAAAATAACCTTGACTCCCAGGTTCACCCAGCCTTGAGTGGGTACCAGGTGCAGTCCTGGAAAGTAAAGGCGGCCGGCCTGATGCTGACCACATTACCCACCAAGTGCCAATTGGTCTCTAAAAATATAGGTCTAGCCCTATATTCCCAAAACGCATAAAGGCGGGGAAATGGGACCTTTACTTTACCATTTAGAGGTTGATAAGAGTGTTTTCTCTGTAAAGTGTTTTCTCTGTAAAGTGTTTTTTCACTGTAAAGTGTTTATGTTTTTTGTTAAGGTTTTCTGTCTTAGAGAGGAACAACAGTTATTATTTTGTTGTTGTTGTAACAAGGTGTTGCCTGTTTATTATCGTTGTTTACTTAAAATCAGATCGCGATTAATAGATCGTGCATTTATGAGAAGATTGGTCACGTAATTTTTTACCCTTCTCAATCCATCTCCTCTTCTGTATTACCATTCCTCTTTTCCTCAACCTTCTGCTCCTCTCTATCCTTTTTTTCCCCTCTCTTTTAACAGCACTTGTTTCTTTTCCAGCCTCTTCGGAACTTCCGTATTTGATAGTCATTGTTTCTATGTTATAGAAACTATTCCTATATATAACTACTGAATTTCCAGTCGATTATTTATTGTTCAAGTGTGTACTATAAAGCAGGGTAGAGTACACATAACATTTGACAATTCTCATTACTCAAAGCGTTGTTAATCACTCCACATGCCAATAATTTTCCCATTTTATTGACAATATATTGGCTATCCCTGAAATCTTTTGTCAACAGTTGCATGCACTGTAAACAAAACACAGGCAGCGTTACGAGATAGAGGATAACATCTAGATATGGGCAAACCTCAGTCTGAGAAAGTATTGAATGCCGAGACGTGCGATAGAACGTTTTGCAGATCCAATGCCACCAACCTTGAATGTAGAGAACTATTCTCATTGACTGATGTGTGTCTGTGTATATTTGTTGTTGTACTTGTGTTCACGCTGCATTGGAATACAACGTATTAGCTTGTCTAGGTCAGGGACAATATAAAAAGAAAATGAGCAAATGATTACGTCAAGTATAAACAGCAACAAAGCGTCTGTGGGGTAGGTCTTGTGTGTGTCCCTCTGTGTGTAGCTTATCTATCTGAGAAGCCGAGAGAGAGAGAGAAAGAAAGAGAGAGAGAGAGACAGAAAGAAAGAAAGAAAGAAAGAAAGAAAGAAAGAAAGAAAGAAAGAAAGAAAGAAAGAAAGAAAGAAAGAAAGAAAGAAAGAAAGAAAGAAAGAAAGAAAGAAAGAAAGAAAGAAAGAAAGAAAGAAAGAAAGAAAGAAGAAAGAAAGAAAGAAAGAAGAAAGAAAGAAAGAAAGAAAGAAAGAAAGAAAGAAAGAAAGAAAGAAAGAAAGAAAGAAAGAAAGAAAGAAAGAAAGAAAGAAAGAAAGAAAGAAAGAAAGAAAGAAAGAAAGAAAGAAAGAAAGAAAGAAAGAAAGAAAGAAAGACTGTAATCCAAGCATAAACTGGCCGGCTGACTAATTTTAAAAGACAATTTTTACATTGAGCAGTTTGCCACTGTTTACCATCGAGCAAGGCTTGCAAAACGGGGGATATATCATGTGAGATATGAGATAAGGCTTGCAACACTAGGTATATCATGTAAGGTGGGAGACCAGGCTCGAAAGACGGGGATATATCATGTAAGATGGGAAATAAGGCTTGCAAGACAGGGATATATGTAAGATGGGAGACGAGGCTTTCAAGACACCGATATGTCATGTAAGGTGGGAGAAGAGGCTTTTAAGACATGGATATGTCATGTGAGAGAGGAGATGAGGCTTTCAAGACAGGGATATATCAAGTGAGAGAGGAGATGAGGCTTGGGAGACGGGGAAATATCATGTAAGGTGGGAGAAGAGGCTTTTAAGACATGGATATATCATGTGAGAGAGGAGATGAGGCTTGCAAGACGGGGATATATCAAGTGAGAAAGAAGATGAGGCTTGGAAGACGGGGATATATCAAGTGAGAGGGGAGATAAGGCGTGCAAGACGGGGATATATCATGTAAGAGAGTAGATGAGGCTTGCAAGAACGAGAAATATCATGTGAGAGGGGAATTAGACTTGCAAGAGGGGGATATATCATGTAAGGTGAGAGATAAAGCTTGCAAGACGGGATTTATCATCTAAGGTGGGAGATAAGGCTTGCAAGATGGCGATATATCATGTAAGATAGAAGATGACGTTTGCAAGACGGGGATATATTATGTAGGTTTGAAGATGAGGCTTGCAAGACAGGGATATATCATGTTAGGGAAGACATGAGGCTTAGAAGACGGGTTAATATAATGTGAGATATACGATGAGGCTTGCAAGATTGAGATATGGGACGTGAGAGGGGAAGTGAGGCTTGAAAGACAGGAAGATAACATGTAAGATGTGTGATGAGGCTTGCAAGATAAATTATATCATGTAAGATGACAGATGAGGCTTGCAAGATGGAAATATAGCATGTAAGAGGTTTGGAGGATGTGATAAGACCGTCTTGTGATTTATCTATAGCAACATTAGGAATCACAATTAACTGTGTTCTTGTTATGTTAATACACCGATAAAGGAAAATCCAATCGGAGGGATTCTAAGCTACAACATAAAAAAATGATGCTGATAACAAGGAAGAACACCGATTCAGAAAAAATTGACAGTACAAGTGACAGGGTGTTATGGACAAACATAATTACCAGATCTGCATGGCATGGGTAATACCATGAAGTATAAAACTGTGGCATGGTGGGCGATATCAAGGGACCTGATTCTAGCCTATACTGCTCTTAATTTCTGACTAACATCTCCCATGTGATGTTATGACTCTACCCAGATATTTAATGTATCGACTTTTGATCAATATTTTACCAATTCCTCCGCTGTCTGAATATTCGAGGCAGACCTTTTTTCACTATAATCTCCAGTAATTGTTGTAGATCATTTACATTTTTTACTATCAATACTGTGTCATCTGCCTAATGTATGTTGTTTGTATTATAACTTCCCACTCTAATTCCTTGTGTTTGTTAGATCTCTCTAAAAATCGCTTGGCTGGAGTTCATAGAAGACAATCGAAAATAAAAGCAGTTCGCAGGCTTAGCTAATTATGAACCAAAGCAATGGAGAAAGAGGTTGTGTGGTCTCGAAGTGCTAGAGATTTCGGGTTCAATCCCCGGTTAAGTCCTGGGATTGTTCACGTGAACTTGGACATTTAGTTATCCCCCTAGGTCTCTGGGTAGTGAGATCGGACGCCCGTGAGCATTGCTGCGCACGTAAAGAATCTCTTGGCAGTTGGAAATCGAAAAGAGTAGCCTACCGACGCTGCCTGGGCAAAATTTGGAGTTGAAATTCGACCCAAAGTATTTCAGGATCCTCGCCGGTGCTGCAGAGCCTATGCACTGTGTTGAACTTCTTCGGACCCAGACTTGAGTTAGAAGAAAGAACGGGGCACTTATGGGTCACTACCCGTGTGCCGTGATGTTGATCCGTTGTTCAAACCTCAAACCTCAGCAATGGAGAATCCAGTTCATACAGCTCACTTTTTTTCTTCTTCCTACTATCCGCGTGCGGCGTCCGTGGCTAAGGCGTTGCGAGTCCGACTCGTGAGCCAGCATACCGCGATCGAAACCCACTGCAGGCTGCGTGGATTTTTGTCGTGGTATGGGACGTCGCAGGTCGACCCAGCCTAAAATGGGTACCAGGATGGGCTGTCCTGGGAAAGTAAAGACAGACGGTGTAATGCTGACCACATTACCCACAGAGTGCTGATGGTCTGTAAAAATATGGGACGCTCTGCCTATATGCCCGATGCGCCGAAAGGCGTGAAAAGGGAACTTTACTTACTTACTATCCGCGTATGTTGTTAGTAGTCGTGTCTGGCTACATCCTTCTGTCTAGTGTACTTTCAGTTATTTTTGACACAAAAGATTTCCCTAGCCACGAGGCCAAACCGTCTAGAATCTTCTATCTTGGTCTTCTGCTGTGTTTTCCCTTGCTATATTCTTATTTTCACCACTTATGCGTTTTCCTTTTCGCACGATGTAAACAAACAACACATTTCCTTCTGTTGTGGGTAATCATTTCTTTTTGTAAAGTCTTTCAAGAAAAGGTCAGTGCATTTTGTAACTGCACATGGCGATCTTATCATTCGTCGATAAATTCAGTTTCATTACAGTTGCTCCTATGTGCACACCATCGTTTTTACTTCAAATATTTGACAGACAGCTAATTTAAACAAATGTATGAAGGAAAAACAAAAAGCCCATTAAATTTGTAAAAAAGGGTTTTGACTGAATAAAGTAATTAAGTAAGGATAAGTCCCTTTTCCACACCTTTAGGCGTATATATGTTGTTCTTGTTATTGTGGTTGTGGTGGCTCTTCTTCCTCTTCTTTTTCTTCTTCTTCTTCTTCTTCTTCTTCTTCTTCTTCTTCTTCTTCTTCTTCTTCTTCTTCTTCTTCTTCTTCTTCTTCTTCTTCTTCTTCTTCTTCTTCTTCTTCTTCTTCTTCTTCTTCTTCTTCTTCTTCTTCTTCTTCTTCTTCTTCTTCTTCTTCTGCTTCTTCTTCCTCATTGTATCTGTTTTCAGCTCATGCCCTAACGAGAGGAGGTTCAGATGGAGCACGAAGGCATGCCTGGCTGCCTTGGTGATTGTCTTCATAATAATGCTGATTTTAATTGGTCTGTTCGTGTTTTACTACGTGCGAATAAAGCAGATTAGTAAGTACACTGTTTTCACTATATATATATATATATATATATATATATATATATATATATATATATATATATATATATGCACGTGTGTGTGTGTGTGTGTTAATATGGCAAAATAACAAAAGCACATTCAGTATATATTTTTACATATATATATATATATATATATATATATATATATATATATATATATATATATATATATATATATATATATATATATATATATATATATACATCGAGAAACGTCAATGTGTTCAACTAAATTACCCCATACAATAAATTACCCCATTTTGAGTATGTAGCACCCCCACCCCCCCCCCCCCCCCAACCCCCAAACCACATAAACATGTGATTAAAAAAAGAACAGAAAGAAAAATCCCATGTTCTGTTGAAAAGAACTTGTAGAAAAAAGGGCACATAGTTCAAAGTGCTTAATAACGAAAGAATCCCCCAAAAACTGGTAATGCAGTGTCCAAATTTCATTGTGGTGGTTGTCACAGTTTTGCCATGATGATATCTGCTACTTTTGGTCCGATGTTGGACAAGGCACAATGGAGATAACTCCCCTTCTCAAGCTGGCAGCGCTGTTTTGTTTTCGTGACCTTTAAGGGGGAAAATCCTGATTGTTACAAGTAGAAATGTACTCAGTTTAAAGATTACTTGACCCCCACCCCTCTCTCCCTGGAAATTTGCTGATGCCTCCTAGGGGGCTGGGAAAGGGGGGAAAAGGGTGGGAGGGGGGGGGGGAATTCAGTGTGGTGACCTCTGCTTTAAAGCCCGTTTTGCCTCAAGTGTTACGATTTAAAGAGGCATATAGTCTTTGTCTTCCCCACGTGAGATGTATTTTTTCGTTATTTGAAGCCCACCCTGGCTTTTGCCCTGAATATAGCCGGGCCATAAATACGGCCAAACGGCTCAAAGGAGTTTATGGGACCTCTCCACGGGTGATCCTCATCCGCGTGGTGGCACTTTGTGTCACAGTGTGCTGATCGCTTGTGTGATGTCCTGGGGGTACAACAAAAGAGAGAGAGAGAGAGAGAGAGAGAGAGAGAGAGAGAGAGAGAGAGAAGAGATAGAGAGAGAGAGAGAAAGAAAGAGAGAGAGAGAGAGAGAGAGAGAGAGAGAGAGAGAGAGAGAGAGAGAGAGAGAGAAATAGAGGCATCTCGTGCGAATGTTTATATGGGCTACCTAGATTCCGGTATTCAGGGTATAATGTTTCAGGTTCCTTGCTTGCGCAGGCGATCTTTAGCTTGCTTCGTATGTTTCTAAGTACAGTCCTTCTATAGAGCGCTTTCGGTGGTAGTCTTATTGGTTCTGTCCACAGCTTGTTTCCTGATATCGCTGTATCTGGTCCTGTATCTTCCTGGTATCAAAGCAGTGGTTCCCATTTGTGAATTTGAACAAAGAAGACACAAAGAATAGATTGCACAATTTATTGCCAGGCATATTTCGCAGTATCTCGTTAGGTGCATACTACAGTAGCAACTTATTAAAAAGAAGCAAATAAATGAATCCTTCGAACTGAAACACACAACCGACTATATTCAAACACTGTCTGTTTCACCAGAGTAAACGCGAGTTGAGAAGTATTTCGAATTACTGTGCAGGAAAAATAATACCGCATTGATATTACTGCATCAAAGAGGAGACGATTGCCATCTTTTGTGCAGCTAATGAGATGGAAAAAATTGGGGCATGTCGGGACAACTGGAAATTGGCAGAGGAAACGAGGCAGAGTAAACCAGTAAAGTGGCTTTTAGACAGTTGGACATATTGGGACTCAGGCCTCTTTACAACGCCCGCCCCTATTTTTCTTTTTGATTTTAACAGAACTGAGGCGGCAACCTCCCCCCCCCCCCCCCCCCCCACTTTCCTCTTCCCACTCTCTCTCTCTCCCTTCTCTAGGAAATTTGTATACGTCCTAAGCCCACGCCCCAAAAGTAGAAAAGTTGGTTTTTCCTGATTATTCTCTCATATATGTGGCTTGGCATTGCGAACATGCTTCGTAAGGCCGTGGTGCCGGGTTCGATCCCAGCTGCGGACGGCTTGTCTTGCGTTGGTTTGGACAGTGGTACTGAGAGCTGACCGTTTACTAAGCAGTGGCAAAATACTGAACGTAAAAGTTGCCTAGAAAAACCACAACAGACAAAAATTGCTATGATTGGTATCCTGTAAAGAATATGCAACTGTCTTTTTTTTTACCCTATGATATATGAATGGGTGTAGAGCGTCTACCCCTTCCTCATCCATGTTTTCTTTGTTTCTGCGTTCCTGATCCCTTGTGGCGTTTATAATCATGCATGTCTCCATTCTTCTTTCACACGCACTGGAAATTTCTAATCTGTTTCTTGTATTTAATGGCCGTATTAAATGTGTATATGTTAACGTGAATGTTTAACGATGTTTGTTTCCACGGCAGACACAACCAAACCGGATTACGGCAGTGCAGTGGGTACGTGATTTTCAAATTGTTATTCAATTTATGTGGCATTCCATTTCATGCCAGTTCAATCTTTTTGTAGCCAATAGTTTATTTTTTTTTTTTTTTAATATCCAGAAACCATGAGTTGTTAACCCTTTGGTTCGGTACTATGAATATCGCAACCTTTTGGCCTTGATTCTATGATTAATACCGTAAATCTGGGAGAAATGTGGCTTCTTTGCCAACCCTGAGGCGGAAAACTGGACCACAAGGAGTTTGTCACCAGGTCACCGCGAAGTCCGGTTTAACCAACTACGCTAGCGAGCCGGACAGAGCCAATGTTTAAAATGCGTTCTCTTGTCCGGGCAAGTTGTCTCAGTGTCTCCTTCTTCAGGGAAGTACAAAAAGTGATGATTAGGAAGATGAAAATATAGATAATGTTTTTGATGAAGATGATGATAATGAAGATGAGAAAGTAGTTTTTTGAGAATGATGATGATGGTGACGACAACGAAGACGAAATAGAAAAAAGAAAAAGAAGGAGGAGGAGGCATGGGGATGAGGCAGATGAGAGGGGGAAATGGCTGCGGGAGATGTCTGCATCACAAATGAGTGCGTTGCTGCAGGTAGGAGGGATTTTCTTTCATTTTTTTAAAATTCAGTCTCTGTGGCTAAGTCGATGCGAACGCTTCGTAATGCCAGGGTACCGGCTTCGATCCCAGCTGCGGGCCATGCGCCTTGCGTTGGTTTCGACAGTGGTATCACGGGTCGACAGTCCAGAAAGCAATGGCAAACTAGTGGACGTTAATTTGTCTAGAGAAACCACACAACAGCCAGGGGCTGCTGGGGTTTGTTCTGCAACATCGTGTAAAGGATACGCAACTAACCTAACCTTTTAGTCCCCGAATTCCTCATGTGGGTTCGAGGCCCTGTTATAGAGAAAGCATGTCGTAAGAGTCGACTAAATGTGAACTTCTTTCAAAGTTGGAGTGCATCTGCCTGAGAGGCAAGGAACTATCAGTTTGCAAACAAATTAGCCAGATCAGCTGGTGAACGTGAAGAAGAAGTCCCAGGAAATAAATAAGGCCGATGCCTAATTGAAGCAATAATGATGACAATACAAGCATGGGTATACTGCATCCGCAAGCTCGAAATACATAGCACACTGCTGGTGACTTGTCTTTGTTGAATTGATTTAGTTTGCCTGACCAAACTTGAGATGTGAAAGTGAGTAAAATGTAAAGGATCCCTTTCCACGCCTTTAGGCGTTGTGGGCACATAGGGCTCGATTTATATTTTATAGACCAATCGGCACACGGTGGGTGATGTGGCAACATCACACCGGTCGCCTTTACTTCCTAGGACTATTCCTAGTACCTATCAGGGCTAGGTCGACATAAGATGTACAAATATACACAACGTGTTGCGGCATAGCAAGGAGAGCAAGTGTTTCTTAAAACATTACAAAGTCGAAGGCTTTCATTTATGAAACTATTTAAGATACAAAACATAGAAAGTGAAGGATTCATTTCTAGAAGATTCGGACTCCCCGTGTGGGTTCCGGGGCCATATTATGAGGGAAAAAAGAATAGACCCACTGCCTACCCAAAAGCATGTCGTAAAAGTCGACTAATTGTTAGCTTTCTTTGAAGTCGGAGTGCATCTGCCTGAGAGGCAAGGAACTAGCAGTCTACATACAAATGAGTCAGATCTGTAAAACGGATGCACACGAAACACCCAGATTCTGGAATAGGACTGCAGACCAAAAAGGAATGAACAGAACTTTCCGCCAGAGTTTACAGCTGGTAAACGCGAAGAAGAAGGAGGAGAAGGATCGGACACATGATGCTGAAGTGACACTTGCATACACTGGCTGGGCGATGTAGTCAACCTAAAACCGACAGCCTTTACTTTCTTGAACTTTCCTGGAGCTCATCTTTGTAGGCTCTGACCGCCTGGGGGCTAAGGAATTTTTTTTTTTAAATCAACCTCGATGCAAATTGAACACAAGACCTTCATTCTGACACGTAAGCGTCTAACCAGTCAGCTACTGGGATTCTGAAATGAACTCAGTAAAGTACAAAATATTCTGAGACAAACTGAGTGAAATGTAAAAAAAAAAAAAAACATTCCAAGATTAACTCAGGGAAATACTACAGATTATGAGATAAACTCGGTGAAATAGAAATGTTTCTTAGATAAAGTTAGTAAAATACAAAATCTGAGATAAACTCAGTAAAAAACAAAAGATTCTGAAATAAACAACAACAGATGATAAAGTAAACTCAGTAAAATACAAAAGATTATAAGATAAACTCAGTAAAATACAAACTCTGTAAAATACACAAAATTATAATATAAACTCAGTAAAATAATAAGATTCTGAGATAAACTCAGTAAAATACTAACGAGAAGGATAATAGATGTCCGTTAAAAGCATTTATTACAGCACGTCAGACAATCCAGTAAAGAAGTGAACAAAATATTCGTAACCCAGCCAACCAACCCGTAATTTAGATTGTTCATATTACAAGACTGGTAACATCCCGCATCTTTCCTTAGGCGACCCATGGAGCTGAGCCATAATCTTCACAGAATAAAAACGAGCTTTTTGAAATGAAATGCTACAGAAAGAGCGTATAAAGAAAGATTCGGTACTTAATTTATAACTTACCTCTGACGTCACGACAACGTCACGGGAGACATTTCCAATAAATTCTAGGGTGTTCAGGTTGTAGTTTCTCGCGATTTATCTACAGCCAAGTTTAGGGTTAGGGTTAGGGTTAGGGTTAGGGTTAGAAGACACTAGATAAACACTCAAAAAAAAAAACAAAAAAAACACACACACAACAGCACACTTCCACCCCTTTAAATAATAAACTGTCAGGTCAGCTGTGGATTTCCCACTGGGATTTCGTGTTTGGGGTACGTTATAAATTAAGAACCAAAGATTCTTAAAAAACCTGGACCATGTAGAAGACGTATACTGGTATCTTAGTGTAGGATTTGAACATCGAGGAGAAGTGGTTCATAAACACCATCTTGTCCCCAATGCTGATGTATCGAGACCTAGAGAGAATGGAAAACGAGACAGAGATCGACCCCCACAAATATGGACAAAGACATTACAGATTTATTGGTTATGATGCACAAAGGTCTCGTGAATTACCTAGACACTGACAGACTTTCAGGCGCACAAGTGAAAAGAGCGATGTTCTTTAAATGACCTGCTAAATGACGATAGTCAATCAATCAATCAATCAGAGGTGCCGTCTCCATAGTGAAGGTTGGCTGGAATGGATCTCCAACACGCTGCATCTCTTGTCCTGGTTGGATGATAGTGAGAAAAATTAATTAGAGAATTTTTTTTTCATATTGCGTTCTAAGTCGATTTATATTTAAAAAAAAATATTTGTTATCTTATAGTTTTGGCACAACATTGCCCCAATCAGCAACAATTCGAATGTCAGTCCAATTCCAGTTCAGTGGTAAAGATTGTAATTAGGGATGTTTTTTTTTCTCTTTCCCATTATAGCCGCACAGATGATGAAGAAGATGAACCGGACAGCTGACCCATGCGTGGACTTCCACGAATTTGCGTGTGGTCGCTACATTAGGGAGACGGTGCTTCCCAAAGGATACACCGAGGTGAACGTTTTCACCACCATCACTGACCGAAACGAAATGGTGATGAAAGGTCAGTGGGGATGGTTCCGTGAACAGATCAGGCGGGCATAAACCTCCCATCCCTCCCCCCCCCCCCTAAAAAAAGGAGGAAATCCTAAGCAACTGGGTAAAACTTACGTTGGTCTCCCCATTTACACAGCGCTACACACTAGATCACTTCTGATTGGTCGACCGTGAGCCACGTGTCCTTGAAACAAGGTTACAAGGTTTTCCGCAATGCCATTGATATTGCGTGTTGTAAATTTCAACACGCCAGCGCTTTTAACACTCCAAAAACATGGACAAACTGGGTCTAACACACAACCCCTTTTAGGGGGTAAATGCAAGACTACCCGGAAAGCATACAAAAGAACAGCACGCTCGTAACTTCCAGGAAAGTAGACCAACATAATTGTCAATGAAACGTGACCTACTTTCTCTGGGGAGCCTAACGTAAAACTAACCAGCAACTTTTATGGTTACGATGGGGTTTTGTTCCATAAAGAGGGGGAGGGGGGGGGGGTAGGAGAGGGTCGTGTATTTCGGGAGAGGGTTTCAATGGGCTGTAGGCCCTATATTCCAGAGCCTCTAGGTTCCGTCAGCCCTAGGTTTCGGCACCTCTAGGTTCTGGTGCCTCCTGAGTCATGAAGGTCAGTGTCATTCCCTCTTGGCAGTCTCGTACCTTGCGGTGTGGAACAGCCTGGCAGTGACCTTATGTGTGCTCTGGATAAGGATGTTCTCAAAGACTCTTCTATTTCTTTTGTCCAACTTCTATGCGGTCAGCCTTCCTTTTAATTTCCTCTTCGCCTGCTTCGGTGCGCGAACGATTTTCGTGATTCCAAAAGTGCCGAGTTCTATCCCAGCTGAGGGCGATTTAGTAATAGGCCACCTTATGTTGTTTTCGAGAGTGGCACTGAGAGCTGACAGTCAGTGAATGGCGAACCAGTGATCGTAAAAGTTGTCTAGTAAAATCCCTAACAGACAAAACTCCTGGTGCTGGTTCTAAAATGTCTTGTACATGATTAGCAACCAAGTGTAAATCACAGAGACGCATTTTTTTCTCCCTAATGTCAACCCAGCGTAAAGCTGGTTACCAGGTATTGTCTTGGAAAGTAAAGGCGATCGGCGTTAAGATGATCACATAACTTACCTCTTATCACTAACCGTCTGGTTCTGAGAGCCTATTGTGGGGTAAAATAAGAAGAAACCCACTGCCTGCCCAAACAAAAAGTCGCAGGAGTCGACTAACTGGGTGCCTCCTTCGAAGTCAGAGTACATCTGGAAGGAGCCAAGAGTCTGTTACAAATAAGCGAGAACTGTGAAATGGATATGCATGTAACACCCAGATTCTGCAACGAGACTGGCGGTAAACGAACACCCAGGACTTTAAACTGAAGTTTACAGTTGGTGAACATGAAGCAGAACAAGAAGAAACTCTAGCACTACTATATGTCCGGTGCGTTAACATGGTCCTTTATTTAAGCAAAAGTAAAAATTGTAGTAAGAGAGTAATAAAGATGTCTTCAAAGAAATTGATTCACGAAGAGATTCGATTGCCCATATCAGAAAGAGACAATCTATATTCTTTGGTCACGTCATGAAAAGGAGAAAAACTGGAGTACTTCGTGACAATGGGGGAAGTTGGAGGGAAAGGGAGGCAGAGGGAGACAGAAAAAAAGGTGATGCTGTACAGTTTGACATCATGGCATGGAGATGGAGCGCTTATGGAAGTGTCCCATGTGCTGGGATGTCGATTATTATTTCAACATTCAGCATTCATTCAACATTCTTGACAATTAGACTGACAGTAACAGAGATCGCTTGCGAACACCTTATATGTCGTCATCTAGAGGAAGCTGAGGCAGATAGATATGACTCCTACATCTCCCAGTGTGGGTTCTGGGACTCCATTGTGTGGAAAACAAGAAAAGACCTACTGCCTACCCACTGTCGTAAGAGTCGACTAATTGGGAACTTCCTTCAAAGTCAAGAATGCATCTGCCTGAGATGCAAGGGACCAACAGCCTGCATACCGATGCGTCACGCCTGTTAAACGCAATGCAAGCAAACTCAGTTTCTGAAAAATAACAAGAATCCAGACGGACGAACAACCAGAACTTTCGGCCGGGTTTTATAGCTGGTGAACTTGAAGAAGAGGTTTGAAGTTTGAACAACTAATCTACATCATGGCACACAGATAGAAATCATAAGTGCTCCGTTCTGCTAATAACTCCAGTCTAAGTCTGAAGTGGCTCAGTGCAGTGCACGGGCTCCGTGGCATCCTGAAATATTTTGGGTAGATTTTTAACTCCAAATGTTGCTCGGGCAGCGCCGTTAGGCTACTCTTTCCAATGCCCGACTGTCAAAGGATTTTTTACGTGCGCAACAATTTACACGGGCTTCCGATCTCTCTACTCTGAGACTGGGAAAATTGCTAGAAGTCCTTCCATTAAAAAAAAAAAAAAATACCTAGCCTTTAGCGTGGCACGAAACCGGGACCTCTAGCACTCGAGGCAGACACATTACCTCCGGACCACGCAGGCCCCTTTCAAGAGAAAGATCCTTACATTTTCCTGGAAAAGAAACTGGTTACTTTATTTTAATTCATGGAATATTTCAGATATTATCAGCAGCGAAATAACAGCAGACGAACCGAAATACTTACAAAACATGAAGCGATTTTACAAGTCCTGCATGGACGTCGGTAGGGACAACTGTGGTCGTTGAACTGTTGGCTACATGTTGTCATCTTGGATTTTCGTGACATTTTTGGTTTTATACAGATCTTCTTTTAAATTATCATCCCTATCATCAACGTCATCATTATAATCTGTTTGTGTCTTTCGTCCTTCTTCTTCACTACTGTATTCACTTTTAAAGGGGCGGTTAGTATGGTGTGCTGTTTCCAACTAGGCTGCAATATATGCGCCTTTCGATCAAAATAACCGATTTCGGCAAACACTTAGTCAGTCTCCTTTTCCAAACATGCCTGCTAAGGTGCAGTGAGTCTGTTCTTCCCCGCACCCCCCTCCCCCTCCCCCCTCCCCCCTCCCCAAGAATTGGGGCCTGGGACCACAGGTGAGTCATTCGTTTATAAATCACATAAGACTCGCTTTCGATTCCTGCATTCCGTGTGTTCCTGTGCAGTTGTTTTCGATATCCTGTAAATAATCCAGATGACCTCTTTTCAAAAATTGCCTGCTAATGTGCAGCAAGTCTATTCTTACACCAAAAGACTAGGACCTGAAACCACACGGGAAGTCATTCGTTCATAAGTCAAATAAGACTCGCGTTCAATTGTTGCATTCCGTGTGTTCCTGTGCAGTTGTTTTCGATATCCAGTAAATAATCCAGATCACCACTTCTGGCCTCCCTGATCAACGTTTGTTGTAAGTTTCTTCTTGGTCGATTTCGTTTCCTCAGTTCACATGTTTCATAGTTCTGTCCCCTTTTTGTGATTCTGTATTCCCTCTTCATAATACACCTAACTGACTGTCCTCTTCATTGCTCTATAACAATTGATACCAACTTTCAACAAGGCATTTCTTCAATGACTTGACCTTGCTTGAATTCAGCCGATTTGATATTCTTCAATTTAAAGCAAAGTTTCCTCGTGGTCATTTTGAACAAAGAAGACACAAACAATAGACCGCATAAATGCCTGGCATATTTGGCTTTGTCTTATCATATGCATGCTATTAAAACTCTAGCCGTCCTCATGAAGGATGCAATCTTTCGTTATTTTAAGCCCCACCCCGGCTTTTGTCGGTGTCCCTGAATATCACTGGGCCATAAATATGTCCTAACGGCTGAAAGGGGTTTCTGGGACCTCTCCACGGGTGATCCTCATGCCCATGGTGGCACTTTGTGTCACCGGGCGTTTATCGCTTGTGTGATGTCCTGGTGGGGTAGAACGAGAGAGAGAGAGGGGGGAGAGAGAGCGAGAGAGAGAGAGAGAGAGAGAGAGAGAGAGAGAGAGAGAGAGAGAAAGAGAGAGAGAGAAAGAGAGAGAGAGAGGTGCATACAACAGTAACAATTAGATATTTTAACACATAAGTGAATGCTTTATAACCGAACTGCAAATTCGAACACTCTCAGATGCAGCTGAAAACTGAGACTTAAGCTAAATTTACCTACTTGTGTCGATAGAACAGATTGAGAAAACGGGACTCGCCGAGTATTTCAAGGACCCCTTCTCGAAAGACTGGCCAACTATCAACCCGGCAACCTGGGATGAGGCGAACTTTCACCTGAATGGCGTCATTGCCCGTTTCGTATCCGTCGACACACAGGCGATTTTTATAATTCAAGCAGGTCTGGACTACAAAAACTCCAGCAAAAAGGTCTTGTTTGTGAGTATCCGAGTATATTAGTAGGTTAAGAAATGATTGATTGTGATGTTTCAAAAAAATTCTTGGCATAACATACAGAAAACACATTATAAACGAAGAGGTTCGCCATAAAATTATACAGAACATTGGCAACTATGAACTTCTTTTAACTACAATGGAAAGGGAAAAAAAAATGCAATGGTATGGACATGTAATAAGATCTAACGGTCTCTCAAAAACAACACTGCAGGGCTCAGTCGACGGAAAGAGGAGAAGAGGCAGACCAAGAAAGATCTGGCTACAGTACGTGACTGACTGGACAGGCCTCAAGCATGCAACCATGAAGTCCATTGCAACAGACCTGACTGTTAAAAGGTTGAGAGAGAGAGAGAGTCAGAAAGTCAATATAAACTGCCGACCCAACGACATGTAGTGTTACGAGATGATGATGAAGAAATGACTGCACAAAGGATGAGAGATGAGCGTGTGAGAAAAACAAAATAAACACAAATGTTGACAACAGTGGTTCTGAAAACCCATGCTCTGACAATGGAAGACTTTTCTTAACGCAGGCTGGTCTTGCTAGTCACACTCGCCATCGCCATGGACTGTGATTAACATGCCTCATCATATCGCACTATAACACTATTGTCTGGAAAAAAAAAAGGAAAGGTGCCAATCGTAAATACCTAAGATGGGCAGCAGGGAATTTTCTGGGAAGTAAAGGTGGTTGAAGTCGGCTCTGTGGCTAAGTCGATGCGAATGCTTCGCTTCGTAATGCCGGGATGCCGGGTTCGATTCTAATTGCGGGCCATGCGCCTTGTGTTAGTTTTGACAGCGGTATCAAGAAAGCCGACCGTCCAGTCGGCAATGGCAAACTAGTGGACGTAAAATTTGTCAAGAGAAACCACACAACAGCCAGGGGCTGTTAAGATTGGTTCTGCACCGTCCTGTAAAGGATACGCAACTAACAAAAGGTGGCTGACGTGATATTCACCACATCACTTTAGCGTGCCGGCTGGTTCACGTATATAAAGATATGTCAAACACCATTTGCCCAAATCAGCAGTGGTCCGATAGGGGGCGCTAACTTTAATCTTGTCAAATGCACAAATATAGGCTACACTTTTCTAGTAAAAACATAAAAGGTGAACCTTCAGAAAAAGTAGAACTAGTAAACTCACCAACAGAACACAAACACACACTTAAAATGCAGTCACGTGTTTTTGCGACTAAAAACAACAAACAAAGAACAATGATACAACCTCATAGAATTCGGTACAATAATTTTGTCAGCCTAAACAATGGAAACCTCGGAACAGAGTTTATTGTAACAAGATAGAGTGTTATTTTAATTTATCTGCCATCACAGATTTAACCTCAAATGTGTGAACCAGGAAACTACCTCCCAAGTAAACTGGATGGCGCGGTGACTGACAGTCATGACATCTTACAGGTACTGATCGGTTTGAAGAGGTGACTTATGTCGACAGGAGCAGACAGTCGAACGGTTGAGCTGAGTTGTTGAGTCAAGAATTGACATCACAGCACTCAGGGAATTCCCATGCGTCCTCCGTCCTCAACTTCAGCAGCCAGCGCAGAGTTCCATTACAGGATGGTACCGGTCACAATCTGGTTAAGTGTCCGTCTTGCCTTCCCTCTTAGTGTAGTGAGCCGGCCAGACCCTCTGGTGACACCCAGGTGCCTCATTCTCTGCAGGCTTTAATAATATTGTTTCTTTACTGATTCCGTTTCTTGTTCCCAAAGGGCCTTGACCACATCTACCTCGTCATGTATCAATTCACCACCCAGTGTTTAAGATCCAAGCAATCTATCTGCCTGTTCATTACCCACCAGGCCGGCATAGCCTGAAGGAATGATACACAGTTTGCTCACACTCCGTGACCTTCTCAGTGAAGCTTGCCACTCTGCTCGAAGCATCCCTGTCTTGACCTTTCTTAGCATGCCTTCAAATTACGACATGTGTTTGCATCTTGTTCTCTAGCCACCGAAGAGCTGCAGTTACCGCCTCCACCTCCATTCTCATGCTAGATGTTGTGGTGTCGTTTGCTAGGTTGTCTTGCACTAAAGATTTTCCATTGGCTTTCGCTACGAACCACTATGCACTTCGCTTTCCTCCCAACACTGAACTATCTGTACAGATAATCAGATCACCTGGGCGTGAATTGTCGTAAATCAACTGTTGGACTTCAACTCCGTAGCACCCACTGACCACTCTCTGCACTCCCGGCCCAGTGTGATCATAACCTTACACAGGTCAGACTTTTCCTCTGGTACTCTGACCCACTCCTCTCCTAATTTTCTCCAACATGCATACTTGTCTTATTGTGCCCACGGTTCTTCCCTTTTCAGCCTCTGACCCTAATCTGCAACCAAAGCTTCATACAGACGGTGTTCCCTGTCTGCAGCTACTCTGAGATATGACCTAGCCTGCAGCCCATTTAGCCTATCTGCAATAGTCGGCAATGCAAAGATGTATCGCATGCACACAATCAGGATGTCTCTTGTACAACCCAGGATCAACGGCATAGCTTCATTCTGTATGCGCTCCAGTTTCTCAAGCTGTCTGTCGAACGGTTAGGAGCGCTGAGCTCCTATGTCGGAGACCCCATAGATCCACATATCCGATACCTTTGTAGGGCTGTTGCTTCTTTCTTTCCGTCAGGGGCAAAAAATAGAAAATAACTTGCACAGTCTGTGGCGACAGCACTAGGCATGCGGCCCTAAAACTACAGACTCCAACCCTCTCCCCCCCCCCCCCCCCCCCCGCCTGCCCCGTAAATGTTGTAAATACAAGCAGTAACAGCAGTTTGAAACGGAAGGTTCATCGTTTCTTTGCTGGAAAACTTAAAAGTTTCACGATTGACCAGCATTCCTTAATGAGGAACTTTAGGTTATAACTGTGACTAGGTAATTTGCGTCTTATATAAAATGGCTTAGCGTTACACACCACCAGTAGTCGTGGAAAGGACTGTTGCAGTTTTAATGCGACACACCCAAATACTGTCCTGACCGACGACACAGTGGTCTACTATCGAGCCATTGGGCTACCCGGTCGCCGATGATAGGATGTTCATCTTCAGTCTGTCGGAGTTATTCCCCATATGACACAGCCAACAGTCAAGAGCTCACAGAAAGCATGCAAATCAGTATATCCGAAGACGACCCCGGCCTTTCCAGGGACCTCCACCTGGGAGCCAAGGGTGAAGTCAGAAATATGGCATGTAGCCTTCAGACTGACAAGGTTTACATGATATTAATATAATCTTGTACTCTGATCTTGTTGATGACTGTGGCTGAGGCGTTGCGAACGCGCGTAGCGAAAACTACTGAACGTAATATTTGCCTAGAAAAGGCACAACAGCAAAAAAAAAAAAAAAAAATATGGCTTTGGTTTTGCAAATTCATGTAAAGATCATCATCATCATGTGCCCTGAAAACTGGCGTACGCTCATGCGTCTCCACAGATCACATACCCTGGTTCACTGGAAAAGCTCTGTCGATTATAACCCTCCATGCCATCGTTTTAGTATATCCAGCATCATCTCTCTTGGTCTGCCTCTACCCATTTTTCCACCGATCTTTTCAGTTTTCACGATGGTGTCCAATGTCTCGCTTCTCATTACGTGGCCAAAGAACAGTGTTTGTCTCTTTCTTATTGTTGTACATACAGATCTACTTTCATTAGCCTCTTTCAAGCAATCGTTGTTAGTTACTCTGGCCGTCCAAGATATTCGTAACATTCGTCTCAGAAGCCACATCTCTGTTGCTTCCAAATTCTTCTTAATTTGTTCAGTGACATTCCAAGATTCGCTGCCATACAGCAGAACAGGTTCTATGTAACATTTTAGCACCCTTTTTCTGACATTAAATGAGAGCGATTTATTGCAAAGGATACGCAACTTAATTTTTTGTTCACCCTGATCGTGCATTATTTACTCTTATTTATTCTGCATGGGAAACCCAAACAATTAACGGAAACAGCTGCGCGACCCTGAACTTGGCATCGATCCAGAATTCTACTTTGTACCAAGGAATGATCCTCTTATTCTCGCATACCAGAAGTTTATCAAAGACATCACAGTAGTTCTGGGAGCTAATGAAGCAACGGCTGAAAAGGATGCGATGGATCTTGTAGATTTTGAAATAGCATTGACTAAGGTAAGTCAGAACATTAAAATGGAGGGGAGCTTGCTGTTATGCTAAAGGAGAGGCAAGATGGACATACAACTATATCACAACTGGCACCATTAGTATTGGAACTCTGCGCTGGCTGCTGAGGATGGGGACGGAGCGATGGCGGAAATGCCCCGAGTGCTGTGATGTCAATTCTTGACTCAACTGAACTCGCTTCTTCGCGTTCCCTGGCATCAAACTCCGGATGAAAGTTTTGCTTGTTTGTCCACTTGTGAAGTCTTATCCTGTTCTGAAACCTGATTTGCGTGCATTTCCGTTCTACAGTAAAGACCTGATTCGCAGGTATGCACTTTGCTGGTCCCTTGCCTCTCAGACAGATGTACGCCGACTTTGAAGAAAGCTCTCATAAAGAAAAATTGACAAATTGCTTTAGACAACATGTCTTTTACCTAAGGCACAATTGTTTTAGACAATATGCATATTACCAGTGTGACAGATTGTTTTTCACAACATGCATATGACCAAAGCGACGAATTGTTTTAGACAACATGCGTTATTCCAAAGGGAAAATTTTTTTTTAGACAACATGCATATTACCAAAGTGAGAATTGTTTTAGACAACATGCATATTACCAAAGTGACAAATTGTTTTATGCAACATGTATATTATTCTAGTGTCAAATTGTTTTAGACAACATGTTTGTTACCGTAGTGACAAATTGTTTTATGCAACATGCATATTCTTAAAGTGACCAATTGTTTTATGCAACATGTATGTTGCCCTAGAGACAAATTGTTTTAGACAATATTTATGTTACCCAAATGACCAATTGCTTTTAACAACATGCATATTACCAAAGTGACAAATTGTTTTATACAACATGTATGTTACCCAAGGGACAAATTGTTTTAGACAGCATGTATATTACACAAAGTGACAAATTGTTTTAGACAACATGCATATGATCAAAGAGACAATTGTTTTAGAAAACATGCATATTACCAAAGTGACAAATTATTTTAGACAACATATATATTACCACAGTGACAAATTGTTTTAGACAACATGCATATTAGCAAAGTAACAAATTGTTTTAGACAGCATGCAAATGATCAAAGTGACATTTGTTTTAGAAAACAGGCTATTACCAAAGTGACACATTGTTTTAGACAACATGCATATGACCAAAGTGACAAATTGTTTTAGACAACATGCATATAACTAAAGTGACAAATTGTGTAGGCAACTTGTATGTTACCCAAGTTACTAATTGTTTAACACAACAAGTATGTTACCCTAGTGACATTTGTTTTAGACAACATGTATGTTACCGAAGGGACAAATTGTTTTAGACAACATGTATATTACCAAAGTGACAAATTGTTTTAGACAACATGCATATTACCAAAGTAACAAATTGTTTTTTGCAACATGTATGTTGCCCTAGAGACAAATTGTTTTCGACAATATTTATGTTACCCAAATGACCAATTGCTTTCATCAACATATATATTACCAAAATGACAAATTGTTTTATGCCATATGCATATGATCAAAGTGACAATTGTTTTAGAAAACAAACATAATACCAAAATGACAAATTGTTTTAGACAACATGTATATTACCAAAGTAACAAATTGTTTTAGACAACATGCATAATACCAAAGTGACATATTGTTTTAGACAACATGCACATTACTAAAGTGACAAATTTTTTTAGACAACATGCATATTACCAAAGTGACAAATTGTGTAGGCAACTTGTATGTTACCCAAGTGACTAATTGTTTCACACAACAAGTAGTTACTCAAGTGACATTTGTTTTAGACAACATGTATGTTACCGAAGGGACAAATTGTTTTAGACAACATGTATATTACCAAAGTGACAAATTGTTTTAGACAACATGTATATTACCAAAGTGACAAATTGTTTTATGCAACATGTATGTTGCCCTAGAGACAAATTGTTTTAGACAATATTTATGTTACCCAAATGACCAATTGCTTTCAACAACATTCATATTACCAAAGTGACAAATTGTTTTATAAAACATGCAAATGATCAAAGTGACAATTGTTTTAGAAAACATACATTTTACCAAAGTGGCAAATTGTTTTAGACAACATGTATATTACCACAGTGACAAATTGTTTTAGATAACATGCATATTACCAAAGTAACAAATTGTTTTAGACAACATGCATATTACCAATGTGTCATATTGTTTTAGACAACATGCATATTACTAAAGTGACAAATTTATTTAGACAACATACATATTACCAAAGTGACAAATTGTGTAGGCAACTTGTATGTTACCCAAGTGACTAATTGTTTCACACAACAAGTATGTTACCCAAGTAACAAATTGTTTTAGACAACATGCATATTACCAAAGTGACAAATTGTTTTATGCAACATGTATGTTGCCCTGGAGACAAATTGTTTTAGACAATATGTATGTTACCCAAATGACCAATTGCTTTCAACTACATTCATATTACCAAAGCGACGAATTGTTTTATAAAACATGCATATGATCAAAGTGACAATTGTTTTAGAAAACATACATTTTACCACAGTGACAAATTGTTTTAGATAACATGCATATTACCAAAGTAACAAATTGTTTTAGACAACATGCATATTACCAAAAGGACAAATTGTTTTAGACAACATGCATATTACTAAAGTGACAAATTTTTTTAGACAACATGCATATTACCAAAGTGACAAACTGTTTTAGACAACATGCATGTTACCAAAGTGACAAATTGTTTTAGACAACATGCACATTACCCAAGTGACAAATTGTTTTAGACAACATACATATTACCCAAGTGACAAATTGTTTTAGACAACATACATATTACCCAAGTGAAAAATTGTTTGAGACAACATGCATATTACCCAAGTGACTAATTGTTTGAGACAACATGCATTTTACCCAAGTGACAAATTGTTTGAGACAACATGCATATTACCCAAGTGACTAATTATTTGAGACCCACAACAGTAACGCACAATCTAATGACATAAAATTAGACCCAGAGCAGAATTTGTTTTTCTGCGTTCACCCTTACAAAGGCATATGGCAGATAGTTTTGTGGTGTAAAGCTAGGCTGTGATGTCGGCTCCTTTCGGTGCAAGACATCTGATTTCAGCACCCTCCTAATCACGAATTGCATGTTCTCCAATAAATCCATGTCTTTGGAGACAACAAAAAGAATTCGCAAACACTATAGAGCGAACGAGTAAGAGGTCGATAAGGAGTGGGTATAATATTTTAGATACCCTGTATTTATCACTTTTGCTAGTATCTGAGTTGTTTTAAAACGATTTGTCTCTTTCGCTAACACGTATGTTGCAAAACTTAAAATATTGTCACTTTTGCTAACACGTATGTTGCCTAACTTAAAATATTGTCACTTTTGCTAACACGTATGTTGCCTAACTTAAAATATTGTCACTTTTGCTAACACGTATGTTGCCTAACTTAAAATATTGTCCCTTTCTTAACATAGAATTTCTTTTAAACTATTTGTCACTGTTGCTAATAAAGGTATTGTCTAAATATTTTTTTATTACTTTGGCTAACATACATGTTGTCTAAAACAGTGTTTGGAGTATGCTAATATGAACGTTTTCATAAACTCCTCGTCACATTCAATGTTACGCCTTTTGTCTAATTGTATGTCTACAACTTTTAAAAACTATTTTATGTCTGCATTTAAAAGGTGTATTACCTTTCCGTTACGCCATTATCTATATATTCAGATCATGGTTTCCAAAGCTGAGAAACAAGATTTTAACAAAGCGTATAATCCGGTTACCATGAGGCAGCTGGGATCTTTATATCCGAAGGTAACTATTTGTTTGTTATAAATTTTTCTTTTTTGAAACAAAAAGTATAATCTTTTTTAATAGACAATATTAACAATCTGTTGCTAAGCCCTACCAAGCAAATCATAGCAACATTTGAGAGCATGTAACATTCCTGTGGCGACTACCTAGCACTCGTTAGGGGGAAACAAGGGGAGGGGGTGGGGAGAGAGAGATTGTTATGAGCCGAAATTCTGTACAGATATTCTTATAAGACTGAAGATCTAGAAGATATGAAAAACTGACATCCTTAAAGATCTTAATATAAAAATAAATTGGGTCATAAACAGCATCTTGTCTCGGAAACTGGAATACTTTGGCCATATCAAACACCACTAGTTTGAGAATGGAGGTGGAGGCAGTCACTGCTACCTTCTGCTGGCTTGAGAATCAGCTGTACACACATGTCTCATTGTAATTGACTCACAGAGTATGCTGAGAAATGTGGATACATGCATGCTCCTTGCAGAGCGGCAAGCATCACGTCAATGGTCCCGGGTAGTTAGCATCCTTTGGATATTTTCTCCAGGTAATACCGGTGTGTTGGGAAATGAGCAGGCAGATAGACTAGCCGGTTCTGCACCACCCTGTGGTGAACTGATGCATGACAAGCTGGATGTTGTGAGGGCCATTTGGGAGCAAGTGAACAGTGCCGAGGAACAGATAGATCATTACGGTCTGAGGAGAAAGGCACTGCGAGGAGTTACCAGGGGATCTGGTCGACGCTTGACACTCAGGAGAAAGGCGAGACGGATATACAATCAGACAGTTACTGGTACCATCGGAATTTTAACTCTTCGTTTGCTGCTGGAGATGTGGACGGAGCGCTTAAAGGGGGTGTCTCGAGTGCTGTGATGTCGATTCTTATTCAACATTTAACATTCAAACACCTCTGTGGATTGGAAAGAACAGTAGTGGAGGGCAGGACACAGAGTAAGAGAAGCTAGGACCAACCAGCGTTACATTGGGCACAGGGAACTGGGTAGGAAAGTAAATCTTCTTCTTTTGCGTTCATCTGAAGATGATATTGCGTTGTGTCCGTTTACAGCATGGCTGCGATATTTGCAACTTTCACCCAACACATCCGACTTCTGCGGTCGGAAGAACTGGCGAGAAGCCGAGTTTCTAGCGGGGTAAAGATACGCTGTGAGGGGAGCGACGTTCTGTAAAGAAACGGCTATACAAAGATAAGTTTAGCCATTCTGTTTTATGCCTACTGTAACCGTGGGTAAACTTGATATGAAAGGGGAGAATGCGAAAAGAAACACAACGAAATCGCATACTGTGAGAGAGAGAGACATCCATTCAGTCAATCAGAAGGAAACGTAATCAGGACACCCCCGTGTGGGTTCCGGGGCCCCATTGTGGGGAAAACAAGAATAGACCCACTGCCTCCCCAAACGCATGTCGTAAGAGTCGACTAATTGGGAAGCTTCCTTTGAAGTCGGAGTGCATCTGCCGGAGAGGAAAGGAACCAACAGTCTGTATTCAAGAGAATGAGATCTGTAAAACTGATGCACACGCAACACTCAGGTTCTGGAGCAGGACTGCAGTTCAGTAGTGGACGAGCAACCAGAACCTTCCGCCAGAGTTTACAGCTGGTGAAAGTGAAGAAGAAGAAGAAGTAATCAGGACAGCTCGTAGGTAGGTAGGTAGTTGTACCCCACTAGGACATCATACAAGCGAGAAACACGCGGTGACACAAAGTGCCACCATGCGGATGAGGATCACCCGTGGCCATATTCATGGCCCCCAGCAAAAGCCAGGGTGGGGCTTCAAAATAACAAAAAATTGCATTCCACAAGGGGACGACTCTAATTTTATAACCTGATAAACACATCAGGACAGCAATGACTACTAATCACTTGAGCGACATTAACGGGTCACAATTCTATGCCTCAGGACATTGCATAAAAAAAAACAATATTCAAAAATACAGGTTTCGTCTGAATAATTCACCACTGAGTTGACGTGGGCTGTCCGTACAAACCATAGAACTTATCCTGCAAGACTGGTCCTTGTACAACCCATTAAGAACGGAACACTGGTCCAGGAATCAACATGACCCTAAAAGCGATATGGAATTAGAGGACCCCCCCCCCTTCCCCCCCCCCCCAAACCACCCCCCTCCCCACTACACAATGCATTAGAAGAACTCGTCTGGGTAAATCAATAAAGCGATCCAAGAAGCATAAGGCAGACGTGGTAAAGACCTAATGAGGATGAAGCATAAGGCAGACGTGGTTGAGACCTAATGAGAGTGAAGCATAAGGCAGACATGGTTAAGACCTAATGAGGGTGAAGCATAAGGCAGACGTGGTTAAGACCTAATGAGGGTGAAGCATAAGGCAGACGTGGTTAAGACCTAATGAGGGTGAAGCATAAGGCAGACATGGTTAAGACCTAATGAGGGTGAAGCATAAGGCAGACATGGTTAAGACCTAATGAATGTGAAGCATAAGGCAGACCTGGTCAAGACCTAATGAGAGTGAAGCATAAGGCAGACATGGTTAAGACCTAATGAGGGTGAAGCATAAGGCAGACATGGTTAAGACCTAATGAGAGTGAAGCATAAGGCAGACATGGTTAAGACCTAATGAGAGTGAAGCATAAGGCAGACGTGGTTAAGACCTAATGAGGGTGAAGCATAAGGCAGACGTGGATAAGACCTAATGAGGGTGAAGCATAAGGCAGACGTGGTTAAGACCTAATGAGGGTCTCCGTGGCGAAGTGGTCAATCCGTTTGCCTCGCGCTCTGAAAGTCGTGGATTCCTTTCACGGCTGCACCGTTTAGTTCCTGAGTGCAATTTTTTACGGAGATTCCTGGGGATCGTAGCCGGAGCTACGGAGGTCTTTCCCCGTGCAAAGCTTTCGCAGGCAGCTAGCTGATCTGCGGGGAGTGATTGAACCATATAGGGAAAACCCCGGTACAATGAAATTGATACTCTTACCTTTAACTTTACCTTATGGGAGAACGTGTACAATTCGGATGAGCAAATGGATCATTACGGCCTGGTGAAAGTGATGCAGCGAGGAGGTATCTGGCCGATCGTGATGGGGGGGGGGGGGGTGTTAATTGAGTGGTTGGGTCCCTCTAGGGCAGTAAGGACCTCAGGAGCACTTAGCGGCAATGACTAAACACACGGCAGCGGTGGAGACAAAAATGAAAAAGAGGACAAGAGAATTAAATTGTCTTGCTCTTGCCTCCTATAACGGAGGCAAAGAGGACGAACACATTCAAAGAATGTTCCTTCTGATGATCGAAAGGCTTCTGATGTGTTCGCAGCTTGGTGGAGTTTCTACTACATATATAGCAACTGTGGAGACACAGATGAAGTCGAGGACAGGCGAATTATATTATCATTCACTACCTCAGGCGAAGCTGGGCAATAAAATCTATTAATTCGTATTCAGATGACATGGTTTTTATCTGTAGCTGTGCTTGTTATTCGACCTATGCTCCATTAATACAAATGTCTGTAACCTATGGTGCCATTTCAATGGTTTGAAATGAATTCTGTCCGTATTGTGTGTGGATTTGAAGCTTTACGATAGACATGGCCATATAAGACACCTTGGAAGGGGGGGGGGTGCCTGGCAGACCATGTTCTTAGTTCCCTTGTTTCCATAGCCAGGCGCACACGCCGTCTGGAGGTGACAGGTTCGATTCCCGGCACGGTAACTATAGATCTCGATTTTTATGTTGTCTAGTGTGTTCTTCTATATTTCTACTTCTTTGTATGAGTGCCAATCAATACATTATCTGTTACTTTATTAATATACATACAATGCAAGCAGTACACGCCCTATTCAACACAGTTGCCTGTTGGCTTACTACCACCACAGCTGGACATACCCCGAGCAACAAGAGCTCTCTACAGTACGGCAAATATAACGATTCCTGACAACGAAACGGTTATCAATATGCATCCACCGTACATGGAGAAACTGCACAAAACCGTTTCTAATTTTTCCGGCCGGTGAGACGAACTCTCTTGTTGTCTTGTTGATTCGAAAGCAATGTCTTTCCTTAGAGAATCTGAACAAAAAAGATACCATCAATAGATTGCGTTGTTTATTGCCTGGCATATTTTAATATATCTTGTGTTACACTCATCAAGATGTGTACAGACAAAAGAACATCGCTTTGAATCTACTTTTGCCCTAGTATTTCAGCTAGAAGGATATTTTTTTTTATATTTTGGCTTCATTTTATTAAATTACTTCTGTAGTATTCTTTTGACAAGATACAACACACACACACACATACACATATATAGTTACATACACATGTGTGTGACACACATTCACATTCACGCTCACACACATAACTACATACACATGTGTGTGCAGGCGCGAAGGCATGTCTGCTGGGCTAAAAAGCGTGTGTGTGGCAGATATGTGGGTAAATGTATATATGCGTGCGTGTGTTTTTTCCCCCTACTTCGCATTTAGGTATGCATGTACGTACGGGTTCGGAACTGTTGTAATAATTTGATATGGTACAAAGCCAAAAAGTAAAGCACCCCTATCCACGCCTTTATGCGTATAGAACATAAAGGGCTAGACTTTTATTTTTATAGACCAGTCGGCACAAGATGGATATTGTGGTCAACATCAGGCCGGCTGCGTTTACTTCCCGGGACTGCATCGGGTACCCACTCAAGGCCGGGTCGACCTGGGAGTCAATTTGAGATGGTATTTAAATACAAATGAGATGGTATTTGAAAACAAATGAGATGGTATTTAAAAACAAATGAGATGGTATTTAAAAACAAATGAGATGGTATTTAAAAACAAATGAGATGGTATTTAAAAACAAATGAGATGGTATTTAAAAACAAATGAGATGGTATTTAAAAACAAATGAGATGGTATTTAAAAACAAATGAGATGGTATTTAAAAACAAATGAGATGGTATTTAAAAACAAATTAGATGGTATTTAAAAACAAATGAGATGGTTTAAAAAAAAAAAAAAACCTGGCTACAGTACACCAGAAGCACACTCTTGCCTTCTTGAAGGGAGTCGGCATTCCGAAACCCAATTTCCAGGTGCTTCCTTCGGGTCACAGAATTGTACGGCTGTTGGGTGACCGCTTGGCTGATGAATGTTATGTCCATGCCCCCACCCCCTCCCCGGCACGAGGCAATATTTGGGTGGCCGTTTATTAATCCTGACATAAACGACATAGAACCATGGAATCATTTTTTTTCTTCAAAAAAATCTTCGCAGGAGCTACAGCCATCGTGCTCTGGCGTCGATCTCGAGACAAATGATGATAAGAGTAGGAGAAGAAGAGGAAGATGGAGAATAAGGAGGGAAGGACAGAAAAGAGCTGGTAAGGAAAAAAAACAACAACCTGAAAAGGTTATCTTTTAAGTTCGTTTACGTTGGATATTGGAACTGTCGAAGCGCAAAGCAACAAGCACACACATTGCAGAAAATAATCTGTGATTTTGATATCCTCATGATCCAAGAGACAAGAGTAAAATATTACACGATCGTTAAATGAGCAGGATATGACTGTTACAGTTATCCTCGTGGAACACAAAATCGAGGTCTAGCAGTGTTTGTCAAGCATGGAATCCAACTTCAGTAGCTAGATACACAAGATCATAGCAGAGAAATGCTTGCGATTCAAGGATTAGTTGTTCCTATTGACATCAACGACATCTTCGACGTATACCTGCACATGGACCAACTTCCAGATGAAGACTCGTAGGAATTCTTTTTAGAATTAAAGGAGTATGATGGAAATATTTAATAGCTTGTAATTTTTTTACTCACGTTCAAAAGAGGGGAAAAATCAAACAGAAAACAGACGGGGAGTTGCACTGAGGCGCTACTAGGCACAAGCTTCACCGTATTAAACGATAGTCTTGCCACAAGATTAGCCTCGAGACCCGGAGACTCCGAAGGAGTGAGCGACCTAGCTTCAGCGTCCATTGGGGCAGAAGAAAATTATTACCTTCAAAGTGTTGCTCTTATCCCAAAGGGCCAGACTATTAAACAAATGAAACCACGACGAAATTCACATATTTACCAAAAAAAGATCAATCGACACTTGGTGGGTAATGTGGTCAACATCAAACCGGTCGCCTTTTCTTTCCAGGACTGTACCTAGAACCCACTGAAGGCTGGGTTGACCTAGGAGTCAAGGTCATTTTTGAAAAAAAAGTCCAGCTTTGTTAGGGTTCGAATCAACGACCATCCGATCCGCAGGTGAGCGTCTAGCCGTTACATCATACGGCTCCAATCAGGAAATTGATGGCAGATATTACAGTGGATTCTTAGGAAACAGGATGACATGAAATTAAAAAAAGAAATTCAGGAATGGATAAAGGATGAAGTAGCTGCAGAAAGACACAGAGCTGCCTACGAAGAAGCACGTCATATACAACAGTCCTGATTTCCCATGTTCTAATTGTGGAAGACTGTTCTTATTGCGAGCGCGCCTTACTTAATGTTAGGCAAGGTTTTAACTTCGCTGTCATTCAGGTCATCCCATGCTCGCTCCGTTCCTGTGTCAGTGAAAATCAACTGAAATGCCCCTCACTATCCAGTTTGAAAATAATGGGGGACAGACAACTGGTACTGACACAGTCCAGATATATACCCACGCAGTAAATGCATAAGTCAGCTGCTAGAGGCGCCAAAGCCAGCAGTCGTCACCAGAAATGCAGTTTGTCATTGGTGGAAGTGGTTGGGTACAATAAGCTGGCTATAAACCCGTAAAATGATTACATATTTAACTCTATTTTAATAATTACGCCAGGTGAGGATTTTGAACCATCCTTCAGAAAGGATAATATGGTTAGTTGGGGGGTGGGGGTGGGGGAGGGGGTGATACCAGACACTGTTCACTGAGAGAGCTTAAAACATTATTTTACAGTTCTCATTTCTTAAATGTTTCTATTTTAATAATTTCGCCATGTAATGATTTTTTAATCCTTCGGAGAGGGAGATATGATTAGGGGGGGGGGGGGGGTATGCCAGACACAGTTAGCTTAGAGAGCTTAAAATATTATTTTAAAGTTCTCATTTTCTAACTATTTCTATTTTAATAATTTCGCCAGGTGATGATTTTTCAATCTTTCGGAGAGGGAGATATGATTGGTGAAAGGGAGGGGCGGGGGGGGGGAGGGGGGTTATGCCTATTCCTTTTTTTTTATAACTTCACCATAGATGATTTTTCAGTCATTGGGAGAGGGAGATATGACTTCGCCAGGTGATGATTTTTCAAATCTTCGGAGAGGGATATATGATTGGTGGAAAAAAGGGGGGGGGGGGTATGCCAGACACAGTCAGCCGAGAGAGCTTAAAATATTATTTTAAAGTTCTCCTTTCCTAACTATTTATATTTTAATTATTTTGCCATGGATGATTTTTCAATCCTTCGGGAAAGGAGATATGACTGGGTCGAGGGGAAAGGGGGGGGGGTGGTGGATAGGACAGACACTGTTAGCTGAGAGCTATTTTGTTTCCTCTCCATTTCAGCATTCTGGGCCACAGCAACGCGTGGCCGGGTACAGCTAGTTATTACATAAGGTATTTCACCAGTCCAGACGTAAACCGGCTGTCGGCCAAATTGAATATCACAAGTCAACTCTGCACAAAAGAAAGGTATTCACATGAAAAACACAGCTCATTGGTCTAAACACAGTAGCTCGACTACCTTCCAAATGTGGAAACTGTATTAGCAAAGCGCTGTCGGAATCAAAAATAACTTCGAAGCTAATCATTCTGCCACGCCTAGTCCTCCCTTTTAAATCGGTCTTACTAGTCACGTTCACCACACACCCCTCATTTGAACCCCTAAGCATCCATCAGTCAACCTAAAAAAAAAAAAAAAAAACCAAGACAAACAGTCAATCAAGTATAAGAAACAAGCAATGAACCAAACAACAACAGCTGCACTACCAACTGATATAACTACAATTGCCATGTCTACAAATATGCTGACACAAATTTAGTTTTCTATTTACAGCGTTGTACAGAATTTTTTCAGCTTCAAATACGCTTTAAACCGAGTGCAAGACCTTAGCCATCGCCTGCGAGAAGTCAAGCTGGACTACGACAAGGTACAGTCTTAGGGGACGTTTCGGTATAAACATTTCATCAGGTTGCGCGGGGTCTCTCGGGTTTGTCTCTATTTGAGGGACATCTGAAGTTACTGAATGATTGTTTTTTCCCATCCACATTTACTAACTGAAAGTTTGACACCCCCGCGATTCAGCGAGCTGCTGGACACATTTCATTGTTCATTGCTCATTTAAAGGTCATCTGCATCGCACATCGGACATGAAAATTAGTGCTCCCATCTCATCCTGAGTATGTATCCAAGCGTTTTTATGCTAACAAATCCCATTCTGTTCTGGCTGGTGTAATGACGGGCGGTTTCCGCATGGTTTTCACGTCTCGCTGCTTCAGTTGATGGACATATTTCTAATATATCTCCAACCTCTTATGAAATTAGAAATCTTAACTTTTTCCCTTTTTCCGCATTGGCTCATACAGCATCTTAAAAACAATACTGCAGGGCTCAGTAGAGGAGAAGAGGCAGACCAAGAAAGACCTAGTTACAGAACCTGACTGACGGGACAGGCCTCAGACATGAAACCATGAAGTCCATCGCAACTGACCGCCAAAGGTGGAAAAAGCTGATCAGACAGTCAACAGAAACTGGTGACCCAACGACACGTAGTGTTACAGGTTGATGATAATGATGATCATGGTGGTGGTGGGGCATACATCATCTCTTGTCTCCACCCCTGCCCTAGCCAGCTCATGCTAGGGTGTCCTATTCTTTTCTATTGCACGCATTTCACCCATGTCCTTCCTATCTTTTTTTTAAACGTTTTTGAATCCCGTCCTTTTAAGGATGAAATTTTTTTTTTGAAGCCCTACTCTGGCTTTTGCCAGGGGCCGCAATATAGCCTGGCCATAAATATGACCTAAAGGCTAAGGTCGGTTTCTGGGACCTCTCCACGGTGATCCTCACCCGCATGGTGGCACTTGTGTCATCGGGTGTTTATCGCTTGTGTGATGTCCTGATGGGGTAGAAAGTCAGTCAGTCTGAATTCAGAGAATCAAGAGGTTAATAATTATCGTTATTAGAATCATCATAGGTTCTTCTGAAGCTGTGCCTCTTACCTGAGTCCATCCAAACGTTTCTCGATCTATAGTCCAGTAAGTAAAGAACCCTCTTCCACGCTTTTAGGCGTATAGGTCACATAGGACTAGACCTATATTTTTACAGACCGATCGGCACAAGATGGGTGATGTGATCAGTATCAAGACGGCCGCGTCTACTTCTCGGGACTGCATCTGTTACCCACTCAAGGCTGGGTTGACCTGGGAGCCAAGGTCATTTTTGAAAAAAGTCCGGCTCCGCCAGGGAGCAAACCCGCGACCTTCCGATCCACGGCGAGCGTCTAGCCGCTCCGCCACGGCGATTCCCTATTTATACCACAGTGGTCGCAAAATTTTTTTTTTCAAGTGGCATCCCTTTGTGCATATGATATGGCAAAACCCTCCAAAAATGTAATAATTGGGCAGGGGGGGGGGGGGGAAGGAAGGGAGAGAGGCGCTGAGCACTTTTTACAAAAACTTACAGAAAAACATCAACATACATCAAATGTCAAATAATATAAAAGAAATAATTATCAACAACTGGTAATTTAGTGGCAGATTTAATGTGATGGTTGGAAAACTTTGTCTTCTGGTGGGCGAGGTACAAAAGAGCACTGGGAAAGAAAACATATTTCAGTATACCAGATTACTATAAATGCACCCATTTTCACAGTTTCTTGACGCCCCCTTTGAAATTTTTTAGCGCCTCAAAGAACACCCCCCCCCCCCCCCCAGATTAAAAACTACTGGTCTTGCCTAGCGCTAGCTAAGTTGCTTAAACCAGCTGCGCTTCGACCGGGTGATGAACTCTTTGTGGTCCGAGTTCACGCTCCTGGGTAGGCAGAAAAGCCCCATATTTCTCAGATTTATGGATTTATGGTATCTGTCACGGAATTAAGGCCAAAGGGTTGCGATACCCATAGCGAGCCAAACGGTTAACAACTCATGGTTTCTTGATTTAAATAATAATAATAATAATAATAATAATAATAATAATAATAATAAACAATTGCTCTAGCCAGTTTACTTGCCTCACTTGTATGCACGCTGAGGCTGGCTTCATTTATGTCAAGTTTGGAACCGTTTCCTCTTCTGGCTGTGGGTATTTCCTTATCAATTTGGACACTAAAATGTCATGGGAGGTTTCAATAGAGATGTCAACAACGAGAGCCCACAGAAAGAAAACACTGGGGTGTTAGAGGTTGGAGAAGGAGTGTGGGTTCCTAAGCCCTTCCCTTGACATATTTTCTAAAAAAAATTGAAGTAGGGGCGGAGGGCTGATTTAGGGTTACTTTTGGACGTAGTTGTCACATTAATAATTTATTTCCCATTTTAGTGCCTCTTTGATGATTCTCTCCTCGGTTCTTCAAGCATGTGGGCAGTTTAGGACCACTTTCTCTGTCTTATAACTTTATAACTGAGGATACAAGTTGTTGTCTAGACATTTCTTTCTTTTCTTTCCCCCTTTTGGATTCAACCTAATTTCACTCAAATGTGTACAAGACTTCTATTGTTTCCTAATGCATTCGACTTTCGTTCTATGTCTTAGGTGGTTTCTCAACTTTAACTAGTATATGTTCAAGCTGAAATAACATTGGAATTGAAAATACGTAAGGTAGTTTTAGAAACTACAAAATCTAGAATTTCATATTTTGTTTTAGATTTCAAAACCTTGCTGATATATTCGTGAAAGTTGTCGTAAAATCTTTCTTTGTACTTCCTTCACTGTCAGAATTACTATCTAAGCAAGTAAAATTGATCTATTACTCAAATTGCCGTGTCTCTAGTGTTACATCTACTTTATCAGGTTATTGGCGTCTTCAAAATGTGTCTATTTTAATAATTTCAATGGCCTGTGTGTCTATAGGACGAATGTAGGTGATGACAGTGAATGACCGACTAGCACTTAGATGACCGTTTAGTGACTACGCGTTTAACAGCCCACGCGAGTTCCCGACTAGTACATCTTGACAGACGAGTGAAGACTTAGGAGGATTCGCGAGGTATTGACTGACCTTCGGTGAACAGCACACTAGACTAAAGTTACTGAGCGAAAAGTTTTCACGAGTTGGCTCAGAGACCAGGACTTGGACAAGACGTGTTGTGTTTTGACCGCTAGTTTTTTTTCCCCGTATTTCTTAGTGACGTTAGCCCCACGCCCAACACTGCTCCTTTCTCATCCGGGTTTGGGACTAGCAATGGCGGAGATAGCATTACCGAACAGACATTGACAAATAGCCTTTTGGGCTTCTAGTGTAGTGTCTCAATTGTCCAAGTACCCTGCTGTTATATTATTGTAATTTTTTGCACTCACATTATTGTTAATGTTATTATTATTATTATTATTAAAAATCTGCTAAAAGTTCCGAAAAATATAATAATATGCTTGTAACATATTGTAATATATACAACTACTATGAAAGATTATTTCTATCAACTTTTAATGGGGTTACTTATAAACCTTACAAAGATCATGGGGGACGGGTGGTAGTGGGCGGGAGTTAGGTCTTCAGCATCTATCATCATCATTTCCTTTAAGATATGTTTAACTTTGATCAGGTAATGGAGGGCAAGACAGAAGAAACTCCAAGATGGAAAAGCTGCCTCAGCAGCACATCGTCGGCTTTCTGGGTGGGGATGTCCAAACAGTTTGTGGCCAGGAAGTTTTCCCAGAAAGCCAAAAACTATGTAAGTGTTTCGTGAAGTTTAGTTTCATACATCACTTATAAACGGTAATTCTGAAAGGGTCAATAGCAAGTTTACTTTTTTAGATGCATAATACATACAAACATACATAGACACATACGTACGTACATATATACATACATACATAATACATACATACATACACAAACATACACACACATACATACACACACACGCGCGCGCGCACACACGCACATACGTGCACATACATACATACATACCAGAAAATGCAGGTGTGCTAGGAAATGGGCAAGCAGATAGGCTACTAGTATGTTTTTTGCCATTCAGCACATGAATGAAACACAAAATACTGATAATGGTAATAATATGTTGAATGGCAATTTAGAATGGTTGAAAGGAAGCTCTTTGCCCCTCCCCCTTTCTTCTTCTATTTTAATTGAAATCATTGGATGGGCTGGTGGAGGGGGAGGGATTGGAAGGAGGTCTTAAAGAGTCCCTTTCTACGCCATTTTTTAGGCGTTGGAACGGGATGGGGATCCCATATTTCGGTCAAAATGGACGCTAGGCGGGCCACTGTTTGGAGCCGAGGCAAATGTTTTGCTTCTGCCGGACGGTGGCAAATGCATATTTGTTCCATTTGTAGAATGGATATAGTTTCGTCGCCCAGCTTCTGAGTTGAGTGCATGGCGTGACACTGTGAGCTGCGGATTTCATGTGGAATATTTTTTCGACTGTGACCAACGTTGTGGTGTGAACTGTAGATTCAGAAAATGGCGCGATGTCTGTCGATGCAATTTTGGTGGTGCCCGTATGTGATTAAAATTTATCGCGTGGGCAACTGCTGATCTGTTGTTGACTTCTGCTACCATCAATGATGAACTACGTTTCTAATGTCGGACTGTATGTGTTAGCACTTCGGATGGCTACCGCATGCTTTAATGCGTGTGTATGCTAGATATGCTGAGACAGCAGTCTGTCAATTTTTCCACAAGGGACTGTGATAAACATTATGTATGTTTTTCGTTGGCACAGGAGCGGAGCAAAGATGGGGTGATCCGTTTGATATGAAGCTGAAACTAAGACTACCAGACGACCAGACTTTTGTGCCTAGAATATATTTAAGATATGTTGTGTTTGGAGGACTTGGCCTTCCTCCTAGCCACCCCCTCCTCTCCCAACCACCACTCTCCACATTTTAATCGGTTGGTGTATCGGTTGAAAATCAGGTGGCGTGCGTCGGTGGAAGAATGTATGCATGATTATGTCGATTGATGGAGTCAAGGATATGTTTATTGGTGAATATATGTATGGATGCACAAATCGATAGGTTGATACATGTATTAATGGTCCAGTGGCTAGATAAATTGATGAATTAAAGGATAGATGTAAGCATTACTGAAAAGATACAATTTTATGCTTTGCTCTGTTTGTCTAGATAATGGAAATGATTGACAAGTTGAAGACATCCTTTCGACAAATCATTGAAGAAACCTCGTGGATGGTACCGCCTACCAAGCAAGCAGCTTTTAAAAAGGTTTCGATCCATTAATTCTTGCAGTGTTATGTTGTAGTTATCACTTTATGCGATGCAATTTTTCGTTATTTTGAAGCCCCACCTGGCTCTTGCCAGGGGCCGCAATATAGCGCGGCGATAAATGTGGTCTCATGGCTAAACGCGGTTTGCGGGACCTCTCCACGGGTGATTCCAAATGGTGGCACTTTGTGTCATCGGGTGTTTCTCGCTTGTGTGATGTCCTAGTGGGGTAAAATGTACTACTACTAATTCAGTTCTTGCTATTGTTACGCACGCTGGACTGTACGTTACACTTGTCTGGTGTTTTGAATGTATCATTAACAAACAGACAATGTATTAATTGGCACTCATAGAAAGAAGCAGAACGATAGAAGGACACAGTCATCATCTGGTACCTTGCCGACTGGCGTGGGCGATCATGCCTCTCCATAATCTGCGATCTCCTGCAGCATGTATCAGTTCGTATGCCGACACACCTCTATACCATGCAACAAGACTGTCAAGCATCTTCTCTCGTTGTCTTCCTCTATCTCTCCTTCCACATATCTTTTCAGTGGTCACAAAATGTTCTATTTTCCCTCTTCTCATAACATGGCCGAAAAATGATGACTGTCTCCTTCTGATGTCTGTGATAAGTTGTCTTCGGGCTCCCGCCTCTTTCAAAACCTCTTGGTAGACAATATAAACATGTTTATTTGTCTGGTGTATTAAATATATAGTAAACAAACAGACAATGTATTGACTGACACTCATAGAGAGAAAACAGACAGATAGTTTATTGATTGGCACGCATATAAAGAAGTAGAAAGATGGACATACTAGACAACATAAACATGTGTATTTGTCTGGAGTATTGAATATATAGTAAACAAACAGACACATTTTTGATTGACACTCATAGAGAGAAAACAAACAGATAGTTTATTGATTGGCACTCATATAAAGAAGTTGACAGATAGAAGGACACACTAGACAACATAAACATGTGTTTTTGGTGTAATGAATATATAATAAACAACTAGACAATGTAATAATCTGCACTTATAGAAAGAAGTAGAAAGATAGAAGGACACATTAGACAGCATAAACATGTGTTTTTGTTTGATGTATCGAATAAACAATAATTTAAAAAAAAAAAAAGAAAGAAAATATATTGACTGGCACTTATAGAAAGAAGTAGAAAGATAGAAGGACACAATAGACAACATTATCAATCAGCAAGTCTTTTACAGAACGTCGCTGTCTTCACGGCACGCCTGAAAGTACCCCTTTCCCTAGCCATCTCTCCGGCCCTATGTGCTTTAAATGCAAATGCATCTTATGTCTTGTACTGACCTTAGCGGCGGTCTGCCTCTGCCTCTTTTTCCGGAAATTGCACCCTCCATCACCGTCTTTTCCAAACCACCATGACGCTTGATGTGGCCAAAATACTTCAACTTTCAGGATAGGATGCTGTTTATGAGCCAGTTCTCCTTGATGTTCAACTCGTTCAGAATGTCGATGTTTTTCCTCTTCCTGGTCCATGTTATTCTGTGAATTTGTCTATAACATTTCAATTCAAAAGCTCCAACCTTTTTCCTCGGTGACTGAGTGAGAGTCCAAGACTCACAACCGTAAGTTGCCACAGGAAAAATGCATAATCTCAAAATTTTTACTTTATCCAATTTAATAGTGCTTTGCCGTAGGTTCTTTATGCTATTTAATCCTTGCATTGCCAATGCAAGTCTTCTTCTGACTTCTTGTGAGCAGTCGCCACTGTTGTTCACTAAAGAGCCCAAGTATTCAAAATCTGTAACATTGTCTATTACTTCATTTTCGATTGTGATACGTGGTTGGTGTGCTGTATTTACTGAGGTCATAATTTAATTTGTTTCAAAGTTAGAAACAGATTCACTTCTTCGCTGCGCTAGACAACATAAACATGTTTATTTGTCTGGTGTAGCCGTTACGGGTGCAATAATTAGAACTGCTGTCAAAGTAGAAATGGTCGTTTGAAGTCTATTTTTGTGGTCTGCTGTAAAGATTTAGATTTTTTAAATCTCAGTACGGTATGTTGAACTTTTAGGTAGCACCTCGGAGGGGACAAACTGACTGATCGATTTACCATATGTTACCAGATCCCTGGTTGGTCCAGACTCTAGCCTAATTCGTAACCGTTGGGGACCCCATTATAAACTAATGTTAAGATAGTTAGTTAATGCATAATAATAGCTAAACGCTATATAAATCCAATCGTGATTTACGGAAGTCAATCATTGACAGTTGGTAGATAATTGTAACTTATTTGGACGCTGCAAAGATGGGGTTTATAGACGAATTACGAGAATACCCTGGACAGATTAAAAGAGAAATGAAGATGACTTGAAAGAAACTGACTCACAGAGAGAACTGATTGCCCACATCATAAGCAGACAATCTACATGCTTTGCTCATGTGATGAGAAGGACAAAACTGGAGTGTCAGCAGGAAAGTTAGAGGGTGGTGGATGGAGGCAAAGGCAGACCGAGACATGAGATGCTTGACAGTTTGACAACATGGCATGAAGGACCATCTGTGTCAGAGTTGATTGAAATTACACCAGACAAAAGGTTGTGGATAGTCATGACTACCAAAGTCACAGGGCATGGGCATTAAGAAGAAGAAGTCAGATGATGCGCAAATCGGATCCCATTTTCTGTATGTCCCTCATCGTATGGCAACTGAGAGATAACGCCATTTCTGTGCTGGTTTATCAGTTTTCTGTGGCTACCCTTATAGTGTTAAAGTAAGTAAAGTAAAGTCGGGAAATGTGAACCAGTGTCATTGCACACGGTTATAAACCATAAGTGCTCTGCCGCCAATACGGACAGCTGATAAAAAAAAAAAAAACTCCTCGCCTGTGTGGCCGTCCGCACGCAACTCTGTAGCTACAGCGACGTTCCTCCAATTACCCTACAGTGTTAACTCTGATACCTATTACCTAGGGGCTAGGTGAACTGCAGGAACCGCTCGGTTTCGAACAACGGCAGTAAGCTGCAGCGAGACGAAGCTGAAGTTCAAAGCGAGTCTCCTATCGACTGCGCTAACGCAGCTCCCTTAGTGTTAATATCTGGAAATACCTTTTTTGATCTGAAATTCTTGTAGTCTTTTAAATGCTATCGACTCAAGTCATCTCCTAAATCACCCTTCCTCAATAAGTGCATTGAAAATATCGTCCCTGTGCATTCCTTGTCCTGTACCTACCGTGGCCCTGTCAGCAAGCCAATCCGCTCGTTCATTGCCTCTCACCCTGAGTGCCCTTTCACAGAAATTAAGCTTATTTCTGTCAGATACGACCCCCACAATGTCTTCGAACCCATCTTATCGCTATCTCCTTAAACATGCTCGTGGAATCATTCAGAAAGCACTCATGGAAAAATGCCCAGTGTCTAGCTTCTTCATTGCCTGTGTTACCGCCATCACCACAACAGTCAGACAGCTCGATGAAAAAAGCAGTGCTGGCATCTGTTACTGTTCTCGTTCGAACCAGAGCCACAAAAAAGTCATGAACTTTGTACATGTCGAACTACAGATCCATCGATGTAAATAAATGCCATTTAATATTATCTCTGCAGTTAGCAGGCAAAAGGCAAGAGGGGCTTTCATAGCACTGGGAAATTTGTGGAGATAAAGAAATTAAACCTAATTTTTTTTCAAGGTAAAGGTCATTTTTCTACGCCTTTAGGTGTATAGGATATATAGGGCTAGACCTATATTTTATAGACCAATCGGCACACGATGGATGATGTAGTCAGCCTCAATAAGTCAAACAGAACTGCATGAAATGATAGGCATTGTGGTGGTAGAAAGTTGAAGAATGGGCCTCAGTTTGAATAATGAAAAGACAGAGGTAATGTTGGTATCAAAGAAAAGAGTTGTTCCTAAATGTGTGATAAAAGTCAACGGTGTTATTTTTGGACAAATACAGATATTTAAGTATCTGGGCACATGGATAACATCACATGGAGGATGCATTAATGAGATTAGAAAGAGAATAGGACAGGCAAAAATTGCATTTTATAAAATAAAGAACATCTTATGCAATATATCTCTTTCATTTTAGGTTCGAAAAAGAATTTTGGCTTGATATATACATTCAGTTTTCACATATGGCTGTGAGTCCTGGACAATCGGTAGGCGGGTCAAACAATTTCTTGAGGCCTCAGAGATGTGGTTTTATAGAAGAATGCTTAGAGTCCCTTGGACAGGCAAAAAGAGCAACCAAGAGGTTTTGAAAGAGGCGAAAGCCCGAAGACAACTTACCACAGACATCAGAAGGAGACAGTCATCATTTTTCGGCCATGTTATGAGAAAAAGGAAAATAGAACATATTGTGACCACTGGAGAGATCTGTGAAAGGAGGGATAGAGGAAGACAACGAAAGAAGATTCTTGACAGTCTTGTTGCATGACAGAGAGGCGTGTCAGCACATAAACTTATTCTTGCTGCAGGAGTTCGCGGATTGTGGAGAGGCATGATCACCCACGCCAGTGATGATGACAGTTACCTTCAAAACCGATACATTGTAGGTGCTTAGTTGCTTTCGGAACTACCCGTACAACATTTATGTTGATTTCTTAAATTTACGATGCATACTGTGCATTATCTAATTTCCTCAGCTCGCTTACATGACCTCCAAGATCGGTTACCCCGACACACATTTCACAGACCAAGATGTTGATGAAACGTATGAACATGTAAGTCTTCTTCCTTCCTTCCCTCGTTCAAATTGTCTTTCGCTGATTTACTTTACATCACCCCCGCCCTCTTTCCGCCCCCTTTATTTTAAGGGCTTGAAACAGCAGTCTATGGTTTTATGGTTAACTTTTTAAAGACATTTCGTCAGTATACTGGCGAATAAATGTATCCCTAATAAACGATTCGCCAGTATATTGGTGCATGATAGAGACAATATAATTTTGTTCCGTTTGTGGGGAAAACGAACTTTTGTGAACAGGTTTTTGAACAGTAAGGAATAACAACAAGAAGTCCTTTAGTTTGCGAAGTTCATCGTGGTCGGTGCAATATTTACTGATTTTTAAAAATTATTTAGATAGGATAACTTTTTCCATGATTTCCTATACTAAATGATAAGGGAAAAGGTCTAGAACTGTTCATACTGCTCTGCTGTTGAAAAATCTCTGCCAGATGGTGACAACAGTCGTGATATTATGGCTGATATCTAAGTGACAAACCTATTGGCGATAGATAATTTAGCTTAGGCTATGAAAATTGAACAAAATATTTCAATCGGATTAATGTTTTGATAAGCTGTTTTCCCGATTTTAAATTCTTGTGAAATCTGACGTCATACAAAAATGATAATAACATCCAAAGTATTTAAATCAATTGTTTCAAACAAATACCAGCTCATACACAATTGAACAGAGAAGGCATGGATATTTTTCGAATTGGAAAGCAGTGTTGCTGAACAAGTAAACAAGTACGGTAAGCACACAATTGTTATGTCAATAATCTTCACATGTGTCTAGCATCCTTAAATGTCGTATGATTTTCTTATATTTTGTTGAAATACTGACATTTAAATAGTTTAGATTTATTCTGTGCTCATGTATCTTTAATTTGATATATTATATGTTCTGATACAGCCAATACTTTTTCTTCAGGAATGATTTAGCTTTGTCGTGTTGAAGTAAAATGAATTCCGCTCAAAATTAATGCTGTCCAAACACCCCCCCCGCCCCCCCACACACACACACACACACACATACACACACACACACGCACACACACACACACACACAGAGACACACAGACAAACACACAGACACACCCAGACACACCCAGACACACCCAGACACACCCAGACACACCCAGACACACCCAGACACACCCAGACACACCCAGACACACACACACACACACACACACAGACACACACACAGACACACCCAGACACACCCAGACACACCCAGACACACCCAGACACACCCAGACACACCCAGACACACCCAGACACACCCAGACACACCCAGACACACCCAGACACAGACAGACACACCCAGACACACACAGACACAGACAGACACAGACAGACACAGACAGACACAGACAGACACAGACACAGACACACCCACCCACCCACCCACCCAGATAGATAGATAGATAGATAGATAGATAGATAGATAGATAGATAGATAGATAGATAGATAGATAGATAGATAGATAGATAGATAGATAGATAGATAGATAGATAGATAGATAGATAGATAGATAGATAGATAGATAGATAGATAGATAGATAGATAGATAGATAGATTAGATTAGATTAGATTAGATTAGATTAGATTAGATTAGATTAGATTAGATTAGATTAGATTAGATTAGATTAGATTAGATTAGATTAGATTAGATAGATTAGATTAGATTAGATTAGATTAGATTAGATTAGATTAGATTAGATTAGATTAGATTAGATTAGATTAGCTAGATAGATAGATAGATAGATAGATAGATAGATAGATAGATAGATAGATAGATAGATAGATAGATAGATAGATAGATAGATAGATAGATAGATAGATAGATCCTAGATAGATAGATAGATAGATAGATAGATAGATAGGTAGGTAGATAGGTAGGTAGGATAGATAGATAGATAGATAGATAGATAGATAGATAGATTAGATAGATAGATAGATAGATAGATAGATAGATAGATAGATAGATAGATAGATAGATAGATAGATAGATAGATAGATAGATAGATAGATAGATAGATAGATAGATAGATAGATAGATAGATAGATAGATAGATAGATAGATAGATAGATAGATAGATAGATAGATAGATAGATAGATAGATAGATAGATAGATAGATAGATAGATAGATAGATAGATAGATAGATAGATAGATAGATAGATAGATAGATAGATAGATAGATAGATAGATAGATAGATAGATAGATAGATAGATAGATAGATAGATAGATAGATAGATAGATAGATAGATAGATAGATAGATAGATAGATAGATAGATAGATAGATAGATAGATAGATAGATAGATAGATAGATAGATAGATAGATAGATAGATAGATAGATAGATAGATAGATAGATAGATAGAAAAAAAACTAGAAGTCCAAGTCCATGTAAACGTAATCCCAGCCCTTACCGGGTATTGATCCCGGAACCTCTAGCACACGAGGCGACACCATGCCTTAAGAGAACGTAGCTCCCTAGTTCGAAGAAAATACGCCTCGTTAATTCCCTTCGAGGTGTACAGATTTCTGAGCGTCACCGGTCTGTTTCGCGGCTGCGTCGGTTCAATAGTGCAATTTATAGGGAATGTCCTGAGGATTATCACAGGAACTACGGAGTTCGTGCTCTGTGTGATGCTCTCGGCAGGCGGCTAGCCTTTATGCGGAGAGACCGAGCCATATGGGATAAAACCCGGTACAATCAGGACGATTCTCTCGACTAGGCTAGACTAGACGGGACTGTACATATTATGAATGTCCCTTCCGGTGTTGATTTCAGGGCTTTATTGTCTGGAGGTTGGGTGGGGGGGGGGGGGGGGGGGGGGGGGGGGGGGGGTTGTCTAGAATAGACCGATTGCCTCACCCAACAAGGTTGTTGTCAAGGTTGTTTAACTTGAGTTACATCCTTCAACATGAATGTGCATCTGTCTGGGAAGAAGGGAACCAGCTGTCTGCATACAGATTAAAAAGATCTGTAAAACGGATGTGTACGCAACACTCAGCTTCTGGAACACGATTAAAGTATAGAGGTGGACGAACAGCCAAACGTTTCCGCTGAAGTTCACAGCCGTTGAACATGAAGAAGAAGTCGAAGAATGGTGTGATCCCCTCCAACCGCCTGTGTCGTGGGTTGTTCGTGTCTAGCCACAGCCTTCTGACTCCTGGACTTGTATTGATTTCTAACACGGATGATATGATGTCAAATGTCTCGCATCTTCTCTTGCCGTCTGCCTCTGCAGGCAATCACTTCCATTCATGATATATAGAATTGTTTGTTGTTTTAAAAATTCTTTTTCAAGAAAGTTTTGCTACTCTTTTATAACCTGAGCACATTTCAGTGTTTGTAATTAGAACTCAATATAATTACTGACAGCTAGATTGATAAACAACACACTTAAGATGAGAATCGTCAAATGGTATGTATACCCAATCCTTCAGTATTTTACAGAAACTAGGACAATGAACAAACAAATAGAAAATCAAATTGAGTCTCTGGAGATGTGGGTATACAGAAGAATATCTTGTTTTTCATGGAAACTAAAAGATTCTAGTACAGATGTTATGGCGAGACTACGAATGAAAAGAGAATCACTGAAAGAAATTTAAAAAAGACAATTGAAATTCTTTGGCCATATTAAAAGACATTACACGCTTTAAAAGATCATACTGGAGGTAACCGTCTAGAGCAAGAGGTGGGCAACAAAAGCAGTGAGAGGACAACATCAAGAGATGGACGGGCAGCAGTCTGAAAGAGTGTACAACCGTAAAAAGAGACATGGCCTGTATGAGATCCATTGCAACCAACTTTCAATGTGGAGACGGCACCTGATTGATTGACTAAATTAGGACTTAGATATTGTTAACATAAAAAATAATTGTCATTAACTATGAAATGACGTCGAATGTATAACTGCGAGCCCGGTTCTTAACCTTTTAAAAAAAAGTTTGTTCGTTCGTTTTTAATCTTCCCACGCGTTCTCATCATTCGTCTATGAACCTACACATTTGCCACCACCACTAATTTGCTAACTATCCATGATTCACTTCCATATATCAGGATTGAAATATTACGTTTAAAGTTTTTAGGAACTCTTTTTCTTACCTCAGGTGACAAAAGAAGATTACATAGAATACATTTCATTTTGTTAAAAGTTACCTTTGCGTGAACTATTTTACATTTATTGAACTGCTTTGATGTAGCAGCTATCCGCTGTTACTCAAGTACTTAAACGTGTAGACTTGTTTTAGAACAATCCCAGTTATTTATATGCTGAATTGGGATGGGATGGGGGTGGGTGGAGGGGTGGATATATACTGTGTAATTGCCAAACAAAAATCCCATCAACATCCTGACAAATCAAACCAGGATCTCTCCAATGAAGGATAAGGTTATCGTAGATGATTGACACATGCCCATCTCTCCAGGTGAGAGTGTTTTATTGCGCTATGAGGAGGCATGAGACTCACAACCCATGGCGATGGCGAGTGCGACTAGGAAGACCCACCGAAAAGAAAAGTCTTCCACAATTATATCATGGGATTTCGGGACCATTGTTGTCAACATTTATGTCTAAGTCTATTTCTTCTCAAATGTTCAGCTTTCATCCTTTGTGGAATTATCTCTTCTTTAATTCTCATTCATTTCCTGAAGTGCCTCCTCCACACAATACAGCTCACGGCTATCTTATGGTTATCTTAGATACACACAATGACTCAACCAGCCATGCAATAATAACGGTTATCTCCTCATAACAGTACCAGATGCGAGAAGACAACTACTACGGCAACTGGAATCTTATTCTCACACTGTCCAGAATCGAATCCCTAATCTCCCTCAGGACACCCGTGGATAAGAATGAGTAAGTTTTCTTCATTTCAATAGATTTTGTTATTGTATTGTTCCTGCTGCTGCTACTACTACTTCTACTAATGCGCCAGCTACTGCTGTTGCCGCTCCAACAACAACAACAACAACAACTACTACTACTACCATTACTACTACTGCTGCCGCCACTGTTACTATTACCACTGTTGATGCTGATGTGAGCAACAACAACAACAACGAATAATAATATTATTGGCACTGTTACTACTTCTACTGCTGCTGCAGCTGCTACTTCTACTACTACCAACACTACCACCACCACCACCACCACCACCACTACCACTTCTACTGCTGCTGCTACTATGATGTTACTACTACTGCTGCTGATGTTACTAACACTACTACTGCTGCTGCCATTACTACTACTACTGCTGCTGCTGCTGCTGCTACTACGACTACAGCTACGCCACTTAAATTTTTTTTTCTCCTAATCGATATCATCACCTTATTTTCCTATCCCCCGATGCTTCCATCTCCAAATAAATTATATTCCACCAATCAAATCGCGCCGCTTAGCGTCTGAGGCTTAGGCGTTGCAAATGCGCTTCCTAATGCCGGGGTACCGGGTTCGATCCCAGCTGCAGGCGATTTGTCTTGCGTTGGTTTCTACAGTGGTACTGAGAGCTGACCGTTCAGTGAGTAATGCAAACAACTGAACGTAAAATTTGCCTAGAAAAACCACAACAGCCAAAAAATACTGGGGTTGATTCTGCAACGTCCTGTAAAGGATACGCAACTAACATTTATGCTACAGAAATCTACAGCACTCTCGTTGTCTGCTTTTACTGTATGTGTAGTTTGTTACTGTGTCACTCTTCTTTTCTTCCATAAACGGTCTCGGTAATAACTGGGGGTAAGTCTACATTCGGTATCGATAAATTGTCCATGAACTAATAGAAGTCCATATAGTAATGACAGAATCACAACTTAAATCTAGTGTTCTCTAAAAATATGGATCGAACAACATGTACCCAATTATCCCCAAAGTAAGGCCAGGGTTGATTTACCTAATATTTTACTTTATTTCGCCCTACGTTATCCTATTCTTTATTCTTTTTTTTTTTTCAGCAATCTAAATACTTGAGGCTCATTACTGTTGATACCATCCGCCTTATTTCATGTCTGCGATTAGTGCTGTTTTTCCAGTTGGTGACTTCAAGTGTCTGTAGGTCTGCCTGTATATTATCTCTCCATCGTCTTCTTAGTCTGCCATTCAACTTCTTGGTGTAATGCCGGTGTGTTGGGAAAGGAACAGGCAGATAGACTGGCTGGTTGTGCATCACTTGGTGGTGAATTGATGCATGACAAGTTAGCTATTGTAAGGGCCGTTTGGGAGCGAGTGAACAGTGCGGAGGCGCAGATAGATCACTACGGTCTAAGGAGAATGGCGCTGCGAGGAGTTACCAGGGGATCTGGCCGACGCTCAACACTCAAGGGGAAGAATGAGACGGATATACAATCAGACGGTCACTGGTACCATCGGAATCGAAACTCTTCGCTTGCTGCTGAAGATGGGGACTGAGCACTTATGGAAGTGTCCTGAGTGCTGTAATGTTACTTTATCCTAATTGTTTTTGTTCACTGTTTGATACGTTTCTTTATGTTGTTGTTTTGTTTTGATTTTTTTTTTGGGGGGGTGGGGGGGATAAAATACTTTATAAGACTGCTGATAACCTCATCGACACAGGTGGAGGATGGCCCCTTACGAAGTCAATGCTTACTATTCTGCAGCGGAGAACCAAATAGGTAAGTTGTTAACATATGGACAGGATCGTGTGGGCTCGGGTCAGTCGACCCCCCGCCCCCCCCCCCAACACCCCACTCCCCCCCCCCCAACAATATAATTGGAAGAGATTAAATGACAATCAATATTCATAAATAGAAACTCTCTTTGAAAGTATTTGTTTGTACAGTTCCTTTTTTTTCTAAATAAATTTTTTTTTGTAACTAAGCACATTATTATTATTATTATTATTATTATTATTATTATTATTATTATTATTATTATTATTATTATTATTATTATTATTATTATTCAATCGCCAGGTCCTTTACAGAATGTCGCTCTCTTCACGGAATACATGGCATTGTATCTTTCTATAAAGTTCTGTGGCCACCTAATGAGAATAGAGACATTGGAGAACATCGTGATAACTGGAAAGATCAGTCAAAAAAGAGGTAGAGGCAGACCAAGAGGGATGATGCTGCATGTACTGAAACGATGGCATGGGAGGATATCACCGAGACAGCTGTTCCAAGCAACCAGGGATCGTGATCTGTGGAGACGCATGAGCACCTACGAAAGTTAGCAGGGCACATGATGATGATGATGTATATTTCTCTAGCCTATACTCAAGCCCTACTTTCTTTTATAGGCAATGCAGCTTCAGTGTTTTGTATCAACATTCGTTGAGGTCTGCCTCTTCGCTGTTTTCCGGAAAAGGTACTTTCCTTCACCGTTCTCTCTAGGCCCCTGTGACGTTTGACATGGTCAAAACACATCAGCTTTCAGGAGAGGCTGCTGTTTATGAGTCAGTTCTCCTCGATGTTAAAATCGCTTATGACATTGGTGTTTTTTCTTCTTCTTGATCATCGATATTCTAAAAATTGTTGTGTAACTTTTCAGTTTAGAAGGTGAAACTTTTTAGTAAGAGACCATCACTCACATCTGAAACTTGCCAGGAGAAAGAAAGATGCACCATCACAAAACTGTCACTGTAATTGGCTTGGATGTGCAGGGCCATAGTTTTTTTTCCTTGGTGTTTTTCTCTGCATTGGTAAAGTGAGTTTTTTTCTGATTTCTTTTGTGCAGTCGGTATCGGTTTTCAATCCTCAGACTAAATATTCCAAATCCGTGACATTTTCGATCTATTCGTAATCGATTTTAATATGTTGTGTGTTGTATTCATTGTGGACATTAGTGTTTGATGCGCAATTTTTTTGGGGGGGGGGGCGGGGGAAGGGGGGGGGGCAAATACATTCTTCTTCATGTTGACTTTTGACGGTGATAATTCATTATTATTATAAACTAGCTGTACCCGGCCACGCGTTGCTGTGGCATAGTTTGGCTAAATGGAAATGAAAGAAAATAGAAAACGCACGTGTCTAATACAATCATTGTCTGCTCAGATATAGAGATAGTCTTTGATCCCCGCCCACCACCACAACTAAATCCACCTACTACTATCTCCCTCATCAAAGGTTTTTGGAAAAGAAAGACAATGGAAATCGCACGTGTCTAATACAGTTAATGTCGCAATCATTCTCTGCACGGATATAGCGATAGTCTGGTTTTCCAACTTTAGAACACGCACCTTATAATTGTGTCTTTATATTAGTGGTCGTTTAAGTGGTATTATTAGCACAGTAACAAAAATGGTTATTTGGTTATCACATGCTAAAGCTGTTTGTATTTTTATAGGGGACGGAAGTAAAGCTACAACTGTACTTGTGAATAACAAAGTAAGTCGTAAAAAATAGAAAAGCGGAGGTAGCGTTAGTAAAATATAAACAAATTAGGTAATGAGAACTTGAAAATCACGTGTAAAGCTCTTTAATTTCTCTTAAATTTAAGTCATTACCCCCTCCCCTCTTCCACCGACTACTGCTCTCTTCCTCTTCGAAGGATTTGAAAATCACTAACTGGCAATATTTTGTTGTTGCTGTAACTGACATTGACATCCCTGTCCATCTGGACTAAAATAGGGAGCAGGAATTGTAAAAGGTAGTGAATAGGGCTAGTGTAATATTTACCACATCATCCTTCAAGTACCAGTACAACTACTAAAATAATGTCACTGCTATCTGTGTTACCATCGGAGTAGACAGAGAGTCGTGAGCCAGAAGATTTGGTTCCGCATGGCTAGTGCTGTCGCCACAGACTGGTCAGGTTAGGATGTATAATTTCACTTGCCGACAGAAGAACGCCATACCTAACCGGCGGTCTTCACATGAGAGCACTATGGTGTAACAGCCCTGGTGTAACAACTATTACTGCTGCTGCTACTTTAAGTGGGTAAAGCAGTTACTGTGACTTAAAGCTCTCTCAGTTAATAGTTTGCCCCCCCCCCCCCCCCCCCCCAAATTCCCCGACAACTCTTTCCCTCATTGAAGTAGTTGGGAGAAGAAAAAAACACTTGAAAAGCAAACGAACACAGGAAGAAAACACCATAATTAGGAAATGAACGCCATTGTAAACAGCACAGCTTAAAATTCCAACACAGATGAAATAACTAAATCTAAATTAAAATAAATGAAAATCTATAAAAATTTCAGCGTAACCATGCAATCGGAAAGTTTAAGAATGCAATCATAAGTATGCGAAATGGTCAAATTTAATTATCAAATGGTTTACCCATTTACTTTTTTTTTTTTTAAGGCAACATGGCTAGTGCTGTCACCACGACAGAGCAGATGAGGATATTATTTTAGTCCGGGGTAAAAAAAAAATATAACGACTGCGGATTCGAACCCAGGTCTACCGCACATGAACCCAGTGTTCTAACCATTCGACCAAGCAGCCACTTAGTCAGAACAAAGAAAAGAGAACTCAACTATTAGACATATGTGTCCCTACCACTGTGTCGCGATTAAAACACAGTTCAAAACCGCAGGCAATTGTTTTCTCGTAGACAGATACTCCAGATATATTAATGAATAGAAATCGTCTAACACGGTTAATGAAGGTAATGTCGCAGTCACTGTCTGCGCCGACGTCGAGATAGTCCTTGATTGCCCCCCCCCCCCCCCCCCCCCCCTATCGAAGGTTGTTTGAAAACAAAAATAGAAAATATAAATCGTGTTTAATATGGTTATTGTGGCAAATATGGAGATAGTCTTGTTTGCTGTACCACGACCTACTCTATGTATTAGTATTAGAGAAGGCGTTGGCTGCACGTAACTCGCCGGCGAATGGTAAATACGGCGCATGCGCAATTACTAACGTGGCTATAATTAGAAATCACTAAAGTTATAAATATTAGTTGCGTATATTTTGGCATAAATTGTGGTCACCTATCTCTAACAGTGACAGGTTGAATTTCAAAACACGACAGTTCAAAATCCGGTATCACAACAAACATATCCTGAAAATTTCAGCTAAATCGGTTCAGTAGTTTCCGAGTCTATAGGGGTGAAACAAACACACAAACATTGATTTTTATATATATAGATAATGCTCTTAGACTAGCACTATTTCTTGTGAGGCCTCACCCCTGGATTAAAATATGTTTTTTTCAAGGGGGAGGGTGAGGGCAAGAAAGAGTGCTGAATTTACTAATATTTTCTTCAAGTCGGCACTGATGGATTTTATACAATTATAATCGTTGAGGATATATCAAAGACGGGCGTATCGACACACAAACACACACACACAAACACACACACACAAATAGAAATACACACACACAAACACACACACACAGAAACACACACACTGAAACACACATACACAAACACACACACACAAACAAACAAACGCACATTATTGATGGAAAGTCCAATAATAATAATGAAAAATAATAATAATAATTGCCACTGACATTTAACAGTCGATTAATTAAGAGTTGGCTAAAATCGGATGTTTTGAGCCGACGAAATCATAGCCTTTTTTGGTAAATCTTAACACAGTATGCTACCTTAGAACAATTACAAAAACCCACTTCGATGCAGATTTGAACGCAAGACCTTCGCGCTGGCAGCAAGCATGTAGCTTCCCTTTATCTAATGCAGCTTCTTAAAATTCCACACAGATGTTTAATACAAGGTGACAGACAAGACGGATGTACAATCCAACTACTGTTGGTACCACTGGAGGAATAACTTTGCGCTCGCTGCTGAAGATGGGGACGGAGCGCTTATGGGAATATTCCAAGTGGTATGATGTCGTTACCTAACCCAGTTCAGTTCAACTTAAACGATAAAAAATAAAAAAGTAAAGGACCGTTTTCCACACCTTCAGACGAATTGGGCATATAGGGCTAGACCTGTATTTATAGACCAGTCGGCATCTTGCTTATTGATGTGGTCAGCATCACGCCGGCAACCTTTACTTCCCAGGATTGCACCTGGTACCCACTGAAGACTATGTCGTCCTGAGAGTCAAAGTCGTTTTTAGAAGAAAAAGAAACGTCTGGCTCGGACAGGACCTTGCGATCCGCAGGCGAGCCTCTAGCCGCTACACCACGGGGACTCACCAACTTAAATCATGATTAACACAATATTTCTGTTTGAATTTACTTTTCAGCATTTCCTGCTGGTGTTGTTCAGTCTCCATTCTTCTCACAAGCCTTCCCTGAGTAGGTTGACGTTCATTGCATGTTTTTGTCTGTATTTAGATTACATGATCTGAATATCCGGGAGAACTGGCTCATAAACACAGAAAGTTGAGTTATGTTGGTCTTGTTAAAAATCGTGATGGCTTGGAGAGGACGGTGATGTGGGGTGCGCTTTCCGGAACACGATGCAGAGGCAGACCGCCCCCTAGGTCAGTAGAAGATTAATTGGCTATGAAAGCACATAGGGCTGGAGAAGTGGCTAGAGAAAGGAAGACTTTCAGGCGTGCCTCAAGGAAAGCGACCTTCTGTAAGGGACAAGCTGATTGATGATGTATTTTGATAATTACAACAATAAATGATGTCCTGAATCAGATATTGATGAGGGAGTCTAAAAAAGTTAAAAAAAAAAAAAAAAAAAAAAAAAAAAACTCAGGCCTCTGGCGCATTGGGCATATAGTTCTAGACCTTTTTTTTTTAAAGACCCATCGGCACTGAACAAATTCAAATATTTGGGAACATTCATAACATCAGATGGACGTTGTGTGACAGAAATTAAGAGCAGAACTGGCCAAGCAAAGGCAGCTTTTCAGAAGGTGAAAAATATTTTATGCAATAAATCACCCTCATTAAACATCAGAAAACAAGTATTGAAATGTTTTATCGAACCTGTTCTGTTTTATGGTAATGAATCTTGGAATCTGGGCAAACACATTGACAAGAGTTTGGAGGAAACTGTCTTGTGGTTTTTGAACAGAATGTTGAAAATACCTTGTACTGCCAGAATAACCAACATTAAATGCCTGAAATTGGCTGATGAAAGAAGAACATTATATACAACAATGAGAAGAAGATGTCTTCTTTGGTCATGTAATGAGAAAAGTAGCACTGAAAAATATCGCGACGACTGAAAAGATCACTGGTAGAAGAGGCAGAAGCAGACCAAGAGAAATGATGTTGGATGGCTGAAGACAGGGGCATGGAGGAATATCATTAGTAGAATTTACCCAGAACACCAAAAACTGTGGCGACGCATGAGCGCCTACGTCAGCTGGAAAAGCACTTGATGATGATGATGATTGGTACTCGGCAGGTGATGTTATCAGTATCTCGACTTTACTTTACGGTGCATTACATGGTACCCATTTCAGGTACGCTGCCACCGAGACGTTGTGTGTGTGTGTGTGTGTGTGTGTGTAGGGTGGGGTTAGGAACCGCAGGACCTATGGATTTTAAGTGGCGGCCTCAAAAGACCGAAGCCTTGTTTAAGCGCGCAATAATAAAAAGAATGTTACCTTATTTACTTGGTCGATCTTTATCAGTCTTTGGGTGTAGAGGTCAATATTGACAATATTATCTTCTTCCTTCAGATCTAGCACCGTAATTCGCAAATTTCCATCACTTGATGTTACATACTTTATTCGTGGCCACAGACAGCCAACACACCCTGGGTTTTCTCCGTCGAAAGGACGCCACTGTAGAGCACGCCACTGTAGAGCACGTCACTGTAGAGCACGTCACTGTAGAGCACGTCACTGTAGAGCACGCCCCTGTAGACCACGCCCCTGTACATCACGTCACTGTAGAGCACGTCACTGTAGAGCACGCCCCTGTAGACCACGCCCCTGTAGAATACGTCACTGTAGAGCACTCTACTGTAGAGCACGCCCCTGTAGATCACGTCACTGTAGATCACGTCACTGTAGAACACGTCACTGTAGAGCACGTCACTGTAGAGCACGCCCCTGTAGATCACGTCACTGTAGATCACGTCACTGTAGATCACGTCACTGTAGAGCACGTCACTGTAGATCACGTCACTGTAGATCACATCACTGTAGATCACGTCACTGTAGATCACGTCACTGTAGAGCACGCCACTGTAGAGCACGCCACTGTAGAGCACGCCACTGTAGATCACGTCACTGTAGAGCACGTCACTGTAGAGCACGCCACTGTAGATCACGTCACTGTAGAGCACGCCAATGTAGATCACGTCACTGTAGAGCACGCCGCTGTAGAATACGTCACTGTAGAGCACGCCACTGTAGAGCACGCCACTGTAGAGCGCGCCACTGTAGATCACGTCACCGTAGAGCACGTCACTGTAGAGCACGCCACTGTAGAGCACGCCACTGTAGTTAACGTCACTGTAGAACACGTCACTGTAGAGCACGCCACTGTAGAATACGTCACTGTAGAGCACGCCGCTGTAGATCACGTCATTGTAGAGCACGCCACTGTAGATCACGTCACTGTAGAGCACGTCACTGTAGAGCACGCGCCTCTGTAGATCACGTCACTGTAGAGCAAGCCACTGTAGAGCACGCCACCGTAGAGCACGCCACTGTAGAGCACGCCACTGTAGAGCACGTCACTGTAGAGCACACCACTGTAGAGCACGCCACTGTAGAGCACGCCGCTGTAGAACACGTCGCTGTAGAGCACGCCGCTGTAGAATACGTCACTGTAGAGCACGCCACTGTAGAGCACGCCACTGTAGAGCACGCCACTGTAGAGCACGCCACTGTAGAATACGTCACTGTAGAGCACGCCACTGTAGAGCACGCCACTGTAGAGCACGCCACTGTAGAATACGTCACTGTAGAGAACACAGATACCGCAGCCTATCTGAGGACCAAAACGTGCCAAAGGCTTTTGTTTAACGGAAACTTTGAAAAAATGAAGAAGAATTTGGAAACAATTTTTATTGGCAGTTGCCCTACTCTTGTGTATCTACGGTTTATATTTCCTTCAGTTATATAAATTATGGAGCTGTTGGTGTGGTCATTGGGCATGAGATCACCCACGGCTTTGACAACGAAGGTAAGATAAGACTATAGATAATCGTCGTACATACCACCTTTATTGCCTAATGTTTTTACAATCTGAACTCAGTAACAACCTATCTATCTATCTATCTATCTATCTATCTATCTATCTATCTATCTATCTATCTATCTATCTATCTATCTATCTATCTATCTATCTATCTATCTATCTATCTATCTATCTATCTATCTATCTATCTATCTATCTATCTATCTATCTATCTATCTATCTATCTATCTATCTATCTATCTATCTATCTATCTATCTATCTATCTATCTATCTATCTATCTATCTATCTATCTATCTATCTATCTATCTATCTATCTATCTATCTATCTATCTATCTATCTATCTATCTATCTATCTATCTATCTATCTATCTATCTATCTATCTATCTATCTATCTATCTATCCATCTATCTATCTGTCTATCTATCTATCTGTCTATCTGTCTATCTGTCTATCTGTCTATCTGTCTGTCTGTCTGTCTGTCTGTCTGTCTGTCTGTCTGTCTGTCTGTCTGTCTGTCTGTCTGTCTGTCTGTCTGTCTGTCTGTCTGTCTGTCTGTCTGTCTGTCTGCCTGTCTGCCTGTCTGTCTGTCTGTCTGTCTGTCTGTCTGTCTGTCTGTCTGTCTGTCTGTCTGTCTGTCTGTCTGTCTAAGTGGCAAACAAACTAATTGACCGACTGACTGACTAGCTAACTAACTAACTGACTGACTGACTAAGTCAACTAACTAAACAACTAGCTAGCTATACTAACTGACTGACTGCCTAAGTCAACTAACGAAACAACTAGCTAGCTATACTAACTGACTGACTGACTAAGTCACCGAACTAAACAACTAACTAGCTATGATAACTAACTAACTAACTAACTAACTAACTAACTAACTAACTAACTAACTAACTAACTAACTAACTAACTAACTAACTAACTTACTAACTAACTAACTAACTAACTAACTAACTAACTAAACTAACTAACTAACTAACTGATAGACTAAGTCAACTAACTAAACAACTAACTAGCTATGCTAACTAACTAACTAACTAACTAACTAACTAATTGACTAGGTCAACTAACTAAACAACTAACTAGCTATGCTTACTGACTAACTGACTGACTGACTGACTTAGTCAACAAACTAAACAACTAACTAGCTATGCTAACTAATTAACTAACTGACTGACTAAGTCTACTATCTAAACATCTAACTAACTATGCTAACTAACTAACTAACTAACTAACTAACTAACTAACTAACTAACTAACTAACTAAATAACTAACTAACTAACTGACTGGCTAAGTCAACTAACTAAACAACTAACTAGTTGTGCTAAAAAATTAACTGACTGACTGACTAAGTCTACCAACAAGCTATGCTAACTATCTAACTGACTGACTAAGTCAACTAACTTAATATCTAACTAACAAAACTTACTAACTAACTAAGCAAACTTATTAACTAAACAAACAAACAAAAACAAAACTATGTAACTAACTAACTGAATAACTAAACTAATTACTAAATAACTTTTTTTTAAAAATACCTAAACTAGCAAACTAACCATCTGAACTAACTAACTGAGCCAGCTAAACTAAATTTATTAATCTGACTAACGCATTCGCTTACTTAAATAAACTAACTAATTATCCAAACTAACTCATTTGTCTTTTATTCCATGTCGTGTGGCGTTGGTAATCATGTTTATCCGCACAATTCCGTCTCGTGTACCTTCTGACACAGACGATCTTCTAAATTAACAAACAAACTAACACACTATCTAACGAGTTGAATTAACTAACCGACTAACTAAACTAAACTAAATAACTAACTAAATTAACCTAACTATATAGCCTAATTCAGTAATTCTCAAACTGTGCGCCGCAGCGCCCCGGGGAGCCGCTACCTCTTCACAGGGGCGCAGCGAAATATTTGAAGATACATAAGTTTTATTTTTTTTAATCTCTTACATACAAATAGTCATAATTTTACTTAGGTTAGGGCGCCGTGGAAAAATTTCAATTGAAAATAAGGCGGCTCGAATAAGAAACGTTTGGGAAACACTGGCCTAATTAACTACATAATGAACTAGCAACCCAATAAAGCTCAACATACTAACTAGATTAGCATTTTATTATACCTCTATCACTATATGCTGTCATCGTCCTACTATTTAACTCCCATTATCTTTACTATTTATCTCTCTCATTGGCTAAACTTTTTAATTCTCTCATTATCTCTACGATTTAACTCTTTCATTAGCACATCTTTGCGAGTCTGACTCGTAGTTCCAACGTACCGCGATTAAAACCCACTGTTGGCTGCGTGCTTTTTGATCAGAGTATGGGGCGCCGCAGGTCGACCCAGCCCAAAACGGGCACCTGGATGTTTGTCATGGAGAAGTAAAGACGGCCGGCGTTATGCCCATAATTAGATGGGCACTACCCATCTAGTGCCGATTGTTCTGTAAAAATAAGGCTTTTCTTCCCATATGCCCGATGCGCCTAACGGCGTGAAAAGGGATCTGTACTATCAGCTAAACTATTTAGCTGTCTCGTCAGCTATTGAACTCTCTCGTTAGCTAAACTATTTAACTCTCTCTCAGTATCTGTACTATTTAACTCTCTCTCTCTTTATCCTATTATTTAACTCCATTATCTTTTCTTTTTAACTTTCTCATTATCTCTACTATTTAACTCTCATTAGCTAAACTTTTTAACTCTCTCGTTATCTTTGCTGTTTAACTCTCTCATTAGTTAAACTATTTAGCTCTCTCATTAGCTGAACAATTTGGCGGTCTCGTTTGTTAAAATTTTAAACTCTCTCATTAGTTAAACTATTTAGCTCTCTCATTAGCTGAACAATTTGGCGGTCTCGTTTGTTAAAATTTTAAACTCTCTCATTAGTTAAACTATTTAGCTCTCTCATTAGCTGAACAATTTGGCGGTCTCGTTTGTTAAAATTTTAAACTCTCTCATTAGCTAAACTATTTAGCTCTCTCATTAGCTGAATATTTAACCCTCTCTTCAGCAAAACTATTGAACTATCTCAATATCTCTATTATTGAACTCTCTCATTAGCTATCTTTTTAGCTCCCTATAAGCTAACCTATTTAGCTCTTAAATTTAAATAACTTATTCATCATTCTTTAAATCAGCTTTGTACATCAATTACCACCCCACCCCCTTTTTCTGGCGAGGTTCCCCCCCCCCCTTCACCCCCCCCCCCCCAAAAAAAAAATACAACACTTCAGATCTGTACTTCAAAGAAACCACTACCCTTCCCCCAACTTTCTGCCGTCAAAAACCTAAGAACCCAATTATTTTTCCACCCCTAAGCGGTTCCCCTCAGATGAAATTCATACATGTAAGAAATCCCCCCCCCCCCCCCAATCAGATCTGTGTGTGTACAGATAGATACAAAGTGTCTTCTCTTTAAACAAACACAAACAGGAAGTCAGTTTGACAGCAATGGTAACTTGGTTGACTGGTGGCAGCCGTCAGATCGTGAAGTCTTCACGGAGAAAGCCCAGTGTATTCGGGATCAGTGCTCCAACTTTCCATTGGACGAGATTGACATGAAAGTAACTTTATACTTTTGTGTCTTACATGTTTATTTAGTGATAAATCTTACCATTCGACTGTGAATTCTAAACAGTTAGTCAGACACCCCCACACTTCCACTGGGGCCACACAGCTATGGTTTCACAGAAGAATTCTTAAAATTCTTTGGACAGCCATAATGAGTAATCACAAAGATGTTATGTTCACAATCATCATCAACATCATCATTCGCTATCAGCATCGTCCAGTAGCACTGCTTGTTGTTGGGTCACCATTTGCTGTTGACTGTCTGATCAGCTCCCTCCACCTTTGACAATCAGATGCGATGGACTCTCTTGTTGCATGCCTAAGGCTTGTTCAGTCATTCAAGTTCCGTATCCAGGTATTTCTTTGCCTGCCTCTTCTCTTCCCCCCGCCTCCCCCCCCCCCCCCCCCCTTCTACTGAGCCCTGTGGTAGAAGTCATTAGGTCTTATTACATGTCCGTACCATCGCATTTTCTGCCCTGTCAATGTCATTTAAAACTGCCACGCAACGCAAGCCCTCGTTCTCCAAGCAATAGTACAACATCAATGATTCGTTACATAATTTTCTCAAACTTGACAGATTCTGTTTCAGCTGATGCCTTCAGTAGATTGTCAGTACCTTTGACAAATGACTGGCGTCTTTCTAATACTCGCAATGCCAGATAGCACAGCCTATAAACTGCTGCTTCTCTCACTTTATGTGATCTGATTATATAATTTTCGCCACTTTTTAACTGCTGATCATCTTTTGTTGACGCAGTCGTAAACTTTTTAACTGGCCAATTAACTGTTTAATGGAAACGTCACGAAAGTTTGGAGCGAACAATAATGGAGGGGTATATTCCTGGGAGGAGAGGAAGAGGAAGTGCAGGATATGGCTAATGATCACCAGATGGGTGTACTGGACGCAGGACATCTTGTAATCGCGAAGTTTTCCAGAGGGTTGGTTTGGGGCAAGGTTCTGCAACGGACATGCTACTGACTGAGTCGTAAACTTAGATGCTGGGCTAATATTAAAACAAATCTTGTTAAAAAGTATTTGACAAAGAAAGTAGATGTTTGCTTTGTTAACTGAACTGAATTTCTACCCCACCAGGACATCACACAAGCGACAAACACCCGATGACACAAAGTGCCACCATGTGGATGAGGATCACCGTGGAGAGGTCCCAGAAACCGCGTTCAGACACCTTGCCATATATATGGCCTGCCTATATTGCGGCCCCTGGCAAAAGCCAGAGTGGGGCTTCAAATGACAAAAAATTTCGTCCTAAAAAGGACGAAATTGGATATATTAACGCTCAGAACTGCTTTGTTAACTTCATTCCAGAAAAGGCATCTTAGTCATTTTTTTCACCAGTTAAACGTCGAAATGTTAGAATACGTTCGGGAAATACCATG